CGGGGTGGGCTGGATGGGGAGGAGGCTGATTGCGGGGGTTAAGGTGGTGGTGGTGGTGGTGGCAGTGGGCGGCTGTTGACTGGATTAAGTGGACGGGCTGCCCTGCATGGAGTGGGAAAGGGCGCAACTCGGGTCGCAAGGGACGGGCGAATAACCGCGAGCGAGTGAAGCAGGACGAGAGGTGTGAAGGGAGCAGGCGGGCGGGCGACACGACAAAGTGGCAGCAGTGGTAGGAGACGGAGCAGGAGCAGGAGGATGAGCAGGAACAGTAGCCGCAGTGGCAGCAATAGCAACGGCAACGTCAACGGCATCGTCGCTGGCTGGCTGGCTGGCTGGCTGGCTGGCTGCTTGTGCGTGGGCAGGCGGGCGAAGAGGCGCAGCCGGGCAGCCAGCCAGCATGAGCAGCAGGCCAACCCGCCAACCCGCCAGCAGAGAGCAGCCAGGCCAATCCACAGTTGAGCCTCTCGCACCAACCAGCCCCAAGATGCCCCCAAGTGCGAGATGCCCCGGCAAGGCCAAAGGTTTCGCCCGAGCGTCCTCTCCCCCGCTTTTGCAGCCGCTAGCTTGCCCAGGACCCCACACTGCAACCCTCCCCCAGCCCTGGCCCTCTCCACGGGGTTCGCCAGTAGCCCGCGGCAAAAACAAAATCCTCTGTGCCGAGCTGCAAGAAGGAAAAAAATAATAATACCACCAGCAGAGAGAAAAGACGCGGCTCCGACCACCTGCATCGGCCCTATTCCACAATCCTCCTTTGCCGCTCCCTGGCGCCTAATCATGTATACAACACTATGTACGCTACACTATGTGCACTGCACTACACTACACTACACTACACTACACGCACCTGCAGAACAAGAACAAAACATGCAACAGCCGCCCGGCCCTGCTTGGCCCCCGACCATGCAATCCATGTATATTGTGTCATGTATCCATCTACCCATCTACTACCTATGCATGTGTAGACTAAACCTCCATCTCCATCCGGCCCTCCCTGCATCTTCTCCTCTCGCTCTACCCCCTACTTACACACTGCCACTTACATTCCTTATCATCGCTGTGTCACCCTCATGTCACTCCGCTCCACTGACCGCCCTCGCCCCAGCTCTAAGCCTCCGGTCGCCTGCCAAATCCGGGAATCCCCGCAAACTTTGCATCCTTGGCCAGCTTGGGACGTCCAAAGTTCTCGTCCAGGTCTAGGATCACCTTGAGTGCATTGCGGCTGCGGAGGTACGGCAACGGTGCCTTTGCCTCTTCCAGACCCACTGATGGCTCCAGGCTCGACGCGTCTGCCTGCGATGATCCCGGCATCGGCAGTGCTGTCCTCTGGTTAGCTTCCTTTCCATCCTCAACCCCGCCGCCATCCATCCGCCTCTACGCGCCCACTTACCTCGCTGCAGAACCTCGTACCCGGCCAGCGTAAAGCCAAACTGCGGAGACGACCGCATAATGCGCGCCGGCCCGCCCTTGAAGAACGCCTTGAAGCCTTCTTCCTTCCAAATGGTCACCGCCGCATGTCGCAGCCCAGTGTATGCAACCTCGCCCTTGCGCGCCTCCACCTGCAGCCTCGTCTTGATCACGTCGCATGGCGTGGTAAAGTACGCCGCCGGCATACCTGCCATAGCGCCTGCAGTCAGCATCTGCAGAACACCGAGCGACTTTTGTGGGCTCTCGCCGAAAAAGTCCTTCTTCAAATGACTGTAGGTAGGAAAGTAAATGGCCGAGAAGGGAACTAGAAGAAGCATTCGTCAGTCATGGCCTCGATCTCAACCTCAATACTACCACCACCACCACCACCGCCATCAGCACCTACCGTCACGCAATAGACACGCGCTAGCGCCCTTGTATAGGCCTACAAGACCCAGGTTCCGCACAATCCACATGGCTGACCGCCGCGGAACACCCTCGACGTTCTTGGATAGTTCACCCTGAACTTGTAACCGAATCTTGACAATCTCCAGCGGGTTGGTAAATACCTGCAGTGTGCCACGTTAGCCCATTCACCTCTACAGAACCCCTGCGCAACAACTCCCCCCCCCCCTCAGCATCACTTACCACTTGGCAGGCACCCGCAGTGCCACCCGCCAACATCTCAGAAGCAAACTTGATCTGCCCCGTTGACTTGTCCGTCAGCTTGCCTCGCACCAGATCGTTGACCGTGAGCTTGATGGCCTTCTCCGGCGCTACTCCCACGAGCTGGGGAAGCACACCCGAGTAGAGACCCTTGAATCCCTCGTTCTTGATGACCTTTTTGGCGCAGTCGAGCGAGTTCTTGTATAGCACTTGACCAACACCAGAGCTTCTCTGGTTCTGCATCCTCGTCTTGACCAAATCAATAGGGTACACCATGAACGCTCCAAACGCACCAGCTAGGGATCCCAGCGCAAAGTGGTGCACAGACTCTAGTACGTCATGCCATATTGACTTTGTGCTTGCAAACACCTTTTGTCCTGCATCAGCAACCGCTGCTCCCGCCAGAGAGCCAATCTTGTGCCACGACGGGTCGAGCACGCGAGCAAAGTCTCGCAACCCGAGCCGCCCAGACGACTCGTCCAAGCCAGCAAAGTGGAACAGAATGTCTGCTTCCATGGGCGTGTAGAGGTTGAAGCGGCTTATGCGAGCTGCCTCGTTGAGGAAGTCGGTGCGGGTAATCTTGCCGTCGGGGCTCTTTTGCACGGCGTTGCGGATAATCAGCTCAATCATGTCCATCTGCTGAATGACGTTCTGGAACGCGCGCACGTTGGCGTATGAGATTTTGCTTCCCACGGAAATGTTGCATAATGTAGGCAGGTTCTCGAGCAAGTAGTCGGACAGCTTGTGGCTTGCAGTCTCGCGTATTATGCGCTGAAAGTCTTCTGGCTCAATGAAGCCATCCTGGTTGCGGTCAAAGTAAGTGAAGCCCTGACGCACCCGCTCGCCCTGCAGTCCACGCAGCAATTGGGCAAACTGGGGATACGTCATGGTGTGCCTGTGCTTCTTGGAGCCAATGTACAGCGCCGCCCACTGGCCCTCCCAGTCAAAGGGCAGGCTGTCCTCGGTCTTGTGTGCCTTCCATGTCTGGTAGAACTCGTCAAAGTCAATGTAGCCGGTGCGCCGCCTGTCAAAGAAACGGAAGACGACCTCGTACTCGGCGTCGGGCTTTGCAAGCAGGTTCTGGAAGACGGACCAGTCGTGGATGTTGACCTTGCCCTTCTGGTCGCGGTCGGCCACCTGGAAGAGAATGCCATACTGATATCGCTTGATCTTGTGCTAGAAGCGGGCACGGCGTTAGTGGGACTATCAGACGCACGACTGCATCTGGCGGCTGCTTACGTAGTCTTCGCCTTCGGGGGCAACGGCCGTGATGAATTGGTCCTCATTGAGGTAGTATTCGCCCGACTCGTCTTTTTGGGCGTGCTTCATAAAGGCGGCGCGCGTGAGCTGCGACAGCTGGGGCTCCTCGGTGGTGCCGAGGAGCACCTCGCGCACTTCTTCCTTGACAGTGGCCATGGCGAGCGAGTGCAATTGGCCTCGAGAGGAGCCACAGAGGTCGGTGAAGAAGAGAGTTGACCCTGGGGAGCGTGTGGTGAGTCGACCGACACGCCGTCCGAGGAGTAAAGCTGGCGGCCAGGTTGCGAGCTCGGAGGTAATAAGCTAGGTAATTTTTAACAGCGACCCATTGGCGGGGGCATCTTACAGCGAGAGAGCGAGCGTGGGGAAGCCGCCCACGCCAGAACCGACAATGGTCCAGCCGTCCCGTCCGTCGCCCGTCTCTTCACTGACGCCTTTGCAATCTTGCTGACGGTTATTCTCCTGCGCTGGCCTGGCTACATCCGCCTTCACTCGCTCTCACCTTGCGCCTTTGCTCCCCTCATTGTTGCCCCCCCCCCCGGCTTTCGCCCTATCCGCCGCGCCCGAACAGAGTGACATTGGAGATGACGCAACCCATCTCAGGTGAGCGCCTCAAGCTCCCCCAGCTGCCACACCACCACAGGGCCAGCAAAAGCATGTATGTGACGTTCATATACGCATGATGCATATGTATATATGAAATTGGGTTCGGCACTCGCTGCAGCTGCCGGGCCCGAAAGACTGTACATACATACATGTTCGGGAGATCCCATCATCCCAACGTAAGTACTTACTACTACCCCGGACCGCCCTGGCAAGCATTGCTAGCGTTGCTGGCTTGCCCGCCGCAGAGAACACGTGACCCTCGACAACAGTCATCATTTCCTAGGCGCATGCTTACAATGTGTGCACACCTTTGGTCCCAGGCTTATCTCGTCTCGGCCTGTAGGATCGCATGGCTAGTCTGATTGACTGCCGATATCCGGAAACCCTGGCCTAGTAGGATACAAGCCAAACAAAGGGACATGTCGCGTTGAAACCACCATGGCCATGTGCTCACGATATGCCCATGCGAACATTGCACCAGTCCCTCGCCACGCAACTGGAATATCGATTCTTCTCTCCTTTTAGTTGGTTGTCACGGTGGTTGCCGCCATGCCATGTCGCAATCCCACTACCTCTTGGCACCAACTATTGGCTGTTCCGTTTGCACCACACAGCAACACGATCGCACTCAAGCCGCACCCAACAAGACCAACCGCAACGGGAGAATGCCAGATTCTTCTACACATGCGAACACTCAATGTCCAACTACCCATATGCGTGCTTCAATAGCCACCCCTCATTGGTCATTAGAGTTTCCAGTCTGAGCAACCCCCAAGGCGAGGACAAGAGAGCGGAAACTCTGGGCACATCTCATGTACTTGGCGGAACCTCTCCACCAGCGGAAACACGATTACGAAATGGCTCAAGACCACAGAACCTCGATCCAACCGGCAACCTGGCACTCGGCGCCCATTCTGCCATTCTCGGCGCTTCTTGTCCTTCTCCACAATGCATCTACTTTGCTTGTATGCCCTCCATGTTCGACGCAGACAACTACCATATAAGGTTGACTGTGTTGCCGGAATCTCAGGACTACTCAAGCACAGGTTCGCAGCTATACAGTCAAGATGGCGTCTCCAGTGACAGCAAAGTATGACTGGATTCTTGCAATCACCACCATCGCTTTTGTATTTTCTGCCTTTGGCAACGGTGCCAATGATGTCGCCAATGCCTATGCTAGTAAGTAACAACATACTCATGCCCACACGAAGCATGCCGACTGACTATCAAAACAGCCTCTGTTGCGGCACGAACATTGACAATGGCTCAAGTTGGACCGCTTGCCATTGCCACAGAGTTCATTGGTGCTGTTGCGCTCGGCGCCCGTGTCACTTCGACCATCAAGAATGGTATCATCGACATCGATCGTTTCACAGGTCACCCGGGGGCACTAATGCTGGTCATGGGCTGTGCTGGTGAGAACATACACCAACAACTGCAGAACATGAGACTAACAATCAACAGAGGTCGGAAGTGCCTTCTGGTTGATGCTTGCTACAAAGCTAGGCATGCCTGTTTCCACTACTCAGACTGTTGTCGGCGCCATCGTTGGAGCTGGCTTTGCAAGTCAGACTGATGCCAAGTGGGGTTGGGAGGATGGCTCCCTATCACAAGTCGCCGCCTCCTGGGCCATTGCGCCATTGATTGCTGCTGCCTTCTCAGCCATAATCTTTGGTACAGTCAAGTACTTGGTTCTCGAACGAAAGGATCCGTTCAAGAATGCCATGCGCTTTATTCCCTTCTACTTCGCCATAACGGGAGCTCTCCTCGCCCTCTTCATTGTGGTGGAAGCCCCTACTGCACCATCACTCGAAGAGTTTGGCGCTGGAAAAGCCGTGGGCATCATCCTTGGTGTCTTTTTTGGGTGTCTGGCAATCTGCTACATCTTCTTCGTCCCATTTTTCAAACGCAAGTTGATCATGAAGGATCCTCGCGTCCGCGTCTGGCACGTCATTCTTGGCCCCAGACTTCTCAAAGAAGACGTAAAACTCTTTTGGCCTGGAAAGGGCGACGAATACGTTACCGATTACTATGCCGACGCCTACGGTCAGGTTCGTGCTGGAACACACGAAAAGAATGCTGGCAAAGGCTCTACCCAAGATGAAAGCATCAACAAGCTTGGCGATGGATCCCCGTCACACTCGATAAAGCAAAGCAACGAGGGCCCTCTGCCAAGTGACCCGGAGAAGCCACGTGTAGAAGAGACATCCACAACTCCTGTACACCTGGTCCGGAAGAAGCCCGAGCCTTATGAACGTTGGATTGTTCCCGTCAAGTCTCTGTCCTGGTTCAACCCCCAAAAGTGGTGGGCTTATCTCAAATTCGCGTTTCTGCGAGGTGTTTCCATCGACGTCATTACGCACGACAACGATCTACTCCGTGCCATCCATTCCAAGGCCAAACGTTACGACGTTCGTGTTGAGCATCTTTGGACCTACTGCCAAGTTGTCTCTGCCATGATGATGTCCATCGCGCATGGTTCTAACGATGTAGCCAACGCTGTTGGCCCTTGGTCAGCCGTATACCAAACCTACCTCGAAGGCGAGGTCTCTACTAGATCAAGGACTCCCATATTCATGTTAATCGTGGCCGGTTTCTTGCTTGGTCTCGGATTTTGGTTCTACGGCTACCATATCGTCCGTGCGCTTGGCAATAAAATTACCCAAATGTCGCCCACTCGCGGGTTTTCAGTTGAATTGGGCGCTGCTGTTACTGTTTTGCTCGCCTCTAGGCTTGGACTGCCCGTATCGACCACTCAGTGCTTGACTGGATCAGCCGTCGGTGTTGCCCTGATGAACTACGATCTTGGCGCTGTGAACTGGCGCCAGATTGCCTTCATCTTCTCTGGATGGGTACGTCCTTTCCAAACTCCTTCTTGCTTTGTCATTTTCTAACATGATTTAGGTTCTTACCCTTCCTATCGCTGGACTGATTTCCGGTCTCCTCTGCCTTATGGCACTCAACACCCCCCATTTCTAAGCTCCTGACCTCTGTAGGCGCTTTGCGTTTCCCCCTGAGTATATGCGTCCCTTGCGAGGGCACCTCGGCATTTCTTTTGTATCATACAAGAATTTTCCAAATATATCCATAATTCGTATACATAAAAGTATCATCGTCTTTCGACCATCATTGTGGCTAAAACATCACATTGTAGGTAAGTGTGGCGCAAGCGGGGAAGCCGACACTGTTGAACAAGTATTTTTGTACTCCTTTGTGGGCCAGATGTCTATGAGAGAATACTTACGTTAATCTTGTGTCGTTGTCAACATGTGTTCAACATCACACCTGTGATATCATTGGCAGTAATTGCACGTGAAAGCGCAGGGCTGAGCCTATGTGGGCCTGCCCGCTTGTTAGACAAGTGCCACAGCCATCCTTGGCACGGATGATGCACAAAAGTGGATCTGGCTGTGGCTAGTGATCACAACATGCCTACGTATTGAGATGCCTGTAGCTCTCCGCGGATTTGATTTCATAGAAATGACACTTGATACTGTTTCTATTTGTTCATGAAGCGAATTCGTGATCTTACGTCTTAGGCCATGCGTTCTAGACGTTATTCCCCACATATATCACGCACTGCGGTATCACTCAAGCTCAAGGCAATTAGTCAATCAGACTGGAGTATCGCATTGATTGCGTGGGAGGATGCTTAACCTTGGCGGCTGGTTGTACCAACGTCACAAACATTCATCGTCATAGTTGCCTCACTGAATGTAATCACTATGATGCATCCTTGGGTTCCTCGTGTGATATAATCCAACAACAGTGCTCTACTCTGGACGGCACAACTATTCAGACACAACCCAAATTCACCATGAGCATGCAAAACGTTATCGTCGTACCAGTAGCAGGCGAAGGTGCTCGACAGCCTGGTCAGGATACAACAGAGAGTTAGTACAGACGATTCACCAACTGGTTTCGTCTCAATTACTTACAATTAATGTGAACACAGTCGCTTCGACGATTCAACATGCATTGGAAGAGAGTGCGCATCCAAAGCAGCCGCAACCTGGACCGTTGAAGCAGATCATTGGTAAGACAGAACCACTAGATGCACAAGACGACAACAGCGATACTAACGTACGATAGCCCATCAAGAGTCGCTTTACCAGTACATCAACGTAAATATATCTCTTGTCTGCGTAATATATTGCGTCTAACAACAGTCTGCAGTGGGATGACCCGACCCGTACCTTGGGCTCTTACATCGGCGTTCTCAGTCTACTGTTTGGTGCACACTATCTCCCGCTTACCCAGATGGCCCTGAAGGGTGGAGTGACTGCCCTGGGATGTAAGTGTTCTCGGACTCACACAAGCATATCTGAGTACAGATCTGACTTTAATCTAACAGTGGTATCGGTTACCGAATCCGCCAGCCGCATGCTGGGCAACCGCTCTTTGTCCGCTCAGCTACGGCCAAAGGAGTACAAGACGTTCCCAGAGCCGACCCTCAACGCTACACTGAAGGATATCCATGACTTTGTGCAGTATGCTGCAGTTCAGGCTCAAAGGATTGTCTTTGGGCAGGACCTACAGAAGACTTTTGCTGTAAGCCGTCCCTCTTGCCTTTTACATGAGCCACAGACTTACCACTCCACAGTCCTTCCTCGGCCTGACAGCTCTATACTGGCTCATCAAAGTCGTCTCTCCCTTCTGGCTCGCCGTCCTAGCTGTAACTTCCGTCTACGCCGCCCCGCTCATCACCTCCCCCCGCGGCCGCGAAATCGCCCGCGAAGCCGGCACAAACGCCCAGGAACTCGCGGCGGCCGCCACCCACAACGGCCGCATGCTCGCCCACGACGCCAGCGCCAACGCTCAGAAACTCGCCAACACCGTCAGTGAAACCAGCCGCGCAGCAGCACACGATGCCACCGCCCGCATCGGCTCCCTCGCAAACAGCACAAAGGAAACCGGGCGCGCAGCTACAAACAGCATCAGCTCCGGTGCGCAGGAAGTAGCAAACCAGGGAAATGCACTAGCGCAGAAGGGTAAACAAACAGCCTCCGACCTCTCTTCCCAAGCCAAAAGCACCGCCTCCGACCTCTCCTCCAAAGCCCAAGGCACCGCCTCCTCCGTCTCCAATTCCGCAACCGGATCTCTCAAGCACGCCCAAAAAGCCTCCTCAAACGCAGCGCAAAGGACCGTCGACACTGCCACCTCAGCTGCCAACCACGCTGCCAACCATGCCGCTTCAACCGCCAACCAAGCCGCCAACCACACCAAGGAATATACAAACGCCCACGGCCCCACTGTCTACTCTTCTTCCCCTACCAGCACCAGCCATGCCAACGACAGAGCGCAAGTAAGGGGACCAGAAGGCGACAGAGCCACTCCCCGCGGCGTCGTCGTTGCGCAGTCGGGCTACACGGGTGCGAAGGTGACGGAGGCGCAGGAGCCGGCGGTTATGTATACGACGGCGAGGGATGAGGCTTTGGAACGGAGGGTGCTGGAGAGGTCGAGGGGGGTTGTGTGATTGCCTTAGGGGAAGTATAGTGAATGTAGTGGGGATATTTTATGAAGAAGATTGGGGGGAAGGGGGGTTTTGTATCCTTGTATGAGTAATATTTTTTTTTCTTCTTTTCTTTTAGGAGGTGTTGAATGAATGGATGAGAGAGAGAGAGAGAGAGAAAGGGATAATTTGTTAAAACTATAGGATGCAGATATGAACGTTATGAATTTCTTTTCTTTGAATGAGGGGGTTGGAAAGTGAGAAAAGTTGTGTGTGTGTGTATGTGTATGTGTTGGGTGTGGAGAGAAAGGTGCAATCTGCGTTTTTTTATCTACGTAAATTCCATCTTTTACTATTTAAACGACGGTGGAAAATATAGGAGCAAGTAGGATAAGGTAGTGGTGGTGGGATTTGGTAATGCTTTCTTTTTTCTTTTCTTTTTTTTATCTTTCCCATACTCCTCCATCACTCCATGCTTCCTCCCCCCCTCCCCCCCCTAACAACGCGACATCGAGCAAGAGCGACGAAAGAGAGAGAGAAAAAAAATATCTTCCCGTCTTTTTTTTTCTCCGACCTGGGCATGAGCGGTTTTTGCGGAAGGGGCTATGCGGCGCACCCCCCAGTCGTGGGTGGGGGTCGTGTGAAAAGGGTCTAGGCGCCACCTCGATGCCATTGCAGAAGGGAATCGATTGAATAGCCATGTTCTTTATATCCTTGAAGCTCAAGGGAAAGTGCTCGACTGCGGATGTTGGATGTTGCTGTGGTTACATTGCTGTTCTGGTGTAATGCAGCACGTATACCGACTATTGTCTTCGTGTCTTGTATCAGAGCTAGACTCACGAGCGCCAGTGCTTGCTGCCAAAGCCTGGTCTATTTGAGCAATCGGCAATTCTTAGTAATAGAAACCAAGATTGGTCGGCCAAACCTTGACATTTCTCCAGATCATTGATTGCTTCATCCAAGCCACTCTTCTTGAGTCTATATTTCCACCGGCTGACCTTGTGAGTAGGCGACGATATTGCATTCAATCTCCCAGGCTGCGGGCTTCATTGTATCCTCAAGTAGCGTTATGACGATCTCGAATTTGGGGTTGAAGAATTTGCAGGGGCTGGGTATACACTTCGCATTGCTTCATCTTCCATCGCGTGGTAGGTCCTCTGTAGGAAATCGAGCTGGGGCAGGAAAAACACCTAATTGTTGTCGAGTCGTAGATGACGCTCCGAAACCTCGGCGCTGGAATGTAGCAGGGCAGAGCATAAGTATTTTCCTTCCTTGATATATCTATTCAAGATTGAGGTTGTCAAAGTCAGTGGCAGGCTGAAGTCGTAAGATGAGATGATACGCCAAGAAGTTATGGTGTGCGAAGACCACGGTAGCAAAAGATATGTACGTGAAATCGAGGCATCAGCTAAATCTTCGCTGCCAAGATTAAGTCACACAAGCCAGGGTATTGTTTGTAGAGATTGCTAATGCTCAGCGCAGTATTTCACGTTGCTTTGTGAGACTATATGGTTCGTATCAAGAAGATGGTTGGCTCTATATCTGTATGGAGTACTGCAAGCACATGGATTTTCCAAAGCATCTGAAAGAGTACGTTTTCGCGCAGCAAACAACTGCTTGGTTACTAAAAACATAAAATACCCTTTCCTGACGGCCCTTTGAAGCAGTCGTCAGCAAGTGTCGGTATGATCGACTTTGTTCGCTCTCTGCTGCAAGTGGATCCTTTGTGGAGGCCAATTGCCGCTCAAGCCCTTCATTACCCTTGGATCAAGGGCAATCGCACCCTACAGACGCAAACATACAAAGACATTACTGGAAGAACAATTAGTGGCATTGGAAACGCTTCTCCACTAACCACGAAGAGTGTGGATGGCGGGGTTGTTTTCTCTGAGAATGGGATCTTACAATGGATAATAGGATTACAGAGGCTTCTGCACAATGGACGCAGACAGTGCCGACGAGAGTAAACGAAATCAATCTTCAGTCAGAATCGCCCATACACACTGCTAAAACCCAGATAATTGCCCCGGATCTCCCTGATGAACCAATGGTCCCTCACCGTACATCAGTGCTCGCAACCGCCTGTTCTAAAGGAGTATCTACTCCCCGTTAAGCCCCACGCCCTGTAGCGCTAGATCCGGTAACAGAGGCCGAATGACTCAGCCCATTCAGGTTATTTGAACAAGAAAAGCTTCGCGTACGCGAAAAGTACATGTGCTTTGCAGAGAAGTAGAAGAAAAGGTTTACTGCTGAACCGGAATCACGAACACGCACCTTTGATGGAAAAAATTCATATCGCTTGACAACAAAATCAGATCGATGGGTACGATACATGCTACTGGAGATGCTATCAAAGGTCAGAGCTGTGCAAACAGTACGACCTGGAGCTCCCATCCCGCTATCATCACTTCGCTCAGGGGAGAGACGATTGCCCATGGCTCGCTCAGCATAGATAAATGGAGAGAAGGGGCTATACAAAAAAATGGTATGACGATGCATGAGGTGATGGTCCCGATGGAGTGATATATGAAGGTCCTTGGGTGGACTGGTAGAGAAGTCATGTACTAGAAATGGGTATCAGGACACGATAGATCCGATTATCAGCCAAGTGTAAGCTACGCCGCAGTGAGACACGATGATTTTGCAAACGAGGGGCTAGAGGGAGGTTCATGGAAGTGCGGCCAAACGCGGCAATATATGCTCCAATCCCTTGTAGTCTTCAGGTGTTCACACTTGCGATAAATAGGGGATATCATAGAAGCTCTAGGAATTACCTAATGTAGGAAGGTAAATAATTAATAGACAGGAGGTGGGTTTGGGACAGTAGAATCACGCCTTGAGTGAGGATTTAGGTGTGTAATCATTCGCCACCACGGTTGAAAATGAATACTAGAATCTAACACAACGTAAATCCACACAGAGTACTTTACGTTTAATTGAAATGCAAATACGAAAGTCAGTAAAAAGCGCGCAAGTTGAAAGAATCCTTAAAGCTGGAATGACCACATCGTGATGACGGGGTTCGTCGGTATATGGTTCAACCGTACTAGCGGCGGGTGGTCAAAGCGCTAGCCGTGGATCTCTCTACATCACTGACAGCCGCAACACCAAACCAAACAACACAACGCGGCTTCATCCCACCTCTCTGTTCTTTCGATAGCTCCCTCGTATCTGCTGCGACTGCTTTATCCGAGAGCGAACAAGTAAAGCAGCACTTAGAACAAGCCATATCACGACCCCGCCACCATGTCTGCCGGAGAGGTGCTCAAGGCCGACAAGGACTTTACCAAGGAGGTCGATGCGGCGATTCCAGAGGCGGAGAAGCTAGCTTCTGTATGATGGCCAGTCATTTTACTGTCCGGCAAAAGCTAATGCATCAGTTTAGAGCAATCCCCAAGCTGGAATCGATAAGCTGCTCGCACTCGAGAAGCAGACTCGCCAGGTAGACCCGCACATATCTCGCGCGCATAAGCAAGCTCTAATACTATTCAGGCCTCCGATCTCGCCTCCACATCTAGAGTGATCATTGCCATCGTCACAATAGCAAAGAATGCTAAGGATTGGAACTTGATGAACGAGCAGGTCCTGCTCCTCTCAAAGAAGCATGGACAGCTCAAGCAAGCGACCACCAAGATGGTCCAGACCGTCATGGGGTTTTTGGATGAGACGCCAAATCTGGAGACAAAGCTGTCAGTCATCGAGACACTGCGCACCGTCACCGAGGGCAAGGTGAGCAGCGACAATGGATGTCACGCGCGACACTACTGATGCATTATTAGATTTTTGTCGAAGTCGAGCGAGCGCGGGTAACACGTATACTTTCCAACATCAAGAAGGAACAAGGCGACATTGACTCCGCGACAAACATCCTTTGCGAGCTCCAGGTCGAGACGTTCGGCTCCATGACCCGGCGAGAGAAGACCGAGTTCATCCTACAACAAGTGGCGCTATGCATACAGAAGGGTGATTGGACACAGGCTGGTATTCTCAGCAGGAAGATCAGCACACGGTACTTTGCACGAAAACCGAAGAAGACGCCCGAGCAGCTAGAGAAGGAGCAGAAGGAGCGCGAGGAGAAGGAGAAGAACCGAAGCGTAGATGATCCTCCAATTGAGCCAGAGGATGACGTAACGGATCTTAAGCTCAAGTACTATGAGCAGCAGATCCTTCTGGCGAAGCACGACGACAAGTACCTCGATGTCTGCAAGCACTACCGCCAGGTACTAGACACAGAGGCCGTTGAAGAAGACCCAGCCAAGCTTCGGGCGGTATGTGATACCCCTCTTTGATGTTTGGACAGATGCTGACCCTACAGATTCTTCAACGCGTCATCTACTTCATCATCCTCGCTCCGTATGACAACGAGCAGTCCGACCTCATCCACCGTATTCAGCGCGACTCGCGAAACTCTCAAATCCCACAAGACGCACAATTGGTTAAACTCTTCACTGTGCCTGAGCTCATGAGGTGGCCGATGGTAGCCAAGCAGTTCGGCCCTCACCTCACTGAGACAGATGTATTCGACGCCGAAAAAGGCGACTCAGATGATCCAAAGGCATTCCAGCGGTGGCAGGATCTGCGAAAGCGCGTCATTGAGCACAACGTCCGCGTTGTAGCGAAGTACTACACACGTATCCAGATCCCGCGACTCACCGAGCTGCTGGATCTGACCGAAGACGAAACAGAGAAGAACATCAGTGAGCTGGTGTCTGCAAAAACCATCTACGCCAAGATCGACCGCCCCGCTCGCATTGTCACATTCTCGAGGCCCCGAGATGCTGACGATGTGTTGAACGAGTGGAGTAGTAATATGAAGAGCTTGCTAGGTCTTCTTGAGCGCGTTGACCATCTCATCACCAAGGAAGAGATGATGGCGCGCATTCAGCCAACAAAGGTGGACAAGAGCAAGGCCATTAAGGGCAAGGCGAAATAAGGGTCATAAAGATCTTTAGCTATCGGCAATCGCTTCGGACGTGCCGACGGGCAGATACTTGTGTATCGATTTCGTTATGCTTACCACTCATGATACATGAAGAAGGGTTATGATTAGTCTAGACATTGCTGAGCTCTCAAGGTTCCGTGCGAGTTGCGTATGTACAATAGACATTTGATCAAACTAGGCAGTCCTTGGGTGCTTTCAGTTTCGACGTTGCGTTGATGTAGTTCGTCTTGAGAAATGACATCAAACTTAGGCCTACCCTGTCGCGCTAGGCCACGACAAAGCCGCGGTATCTCGAACGTCCCACATCCGGGGTACTTACCGAAGTACAGCGCCTTTACATACTACTAGTACGCAGACCTTCTCACTGACTCTGATTATCCTAATTGCAGCCACTGTATGCGCCTGCAGCACCTCCTCTCTCTCGCAGACCCCCGCCTCTACACACGCACCAATCTCCGCGTCCGTTCCCACTGGCGCACCATGGCTGCCGCCGCGCCCCCGCCCAACCGGCCGATTAAGATCCTAATGCTGCACGGCTACACGCAATCCGGACCCTTATTCCAAGCCAAAACGGGCGCTCTCCGCAAAACCCTCAATAAAGCCTTCCCCAAAGGCATCGAACTCGTCTACCCCACCGGCCCAATCCGCCTCACCCCCACCGACTTCTCCCTCATCACCGGCGCAGTCACCGACCGCACTTCCGCCCCGGACGCCGACGAAGAACTCGACGCCTGGGCCTGGTGGCGTAAACGCAGCACGAGCGATGGCTCCTACGTTTTCGACGGGCTGGACGAGGGGTTCGCGCATATTGCCTCCATCTTAAAAGAACAAGGGCCATTCGATGGCGTCATTGGATTCTCCCAAGGCGCAGCTGCAACAGCCATGGTTGCGTCGTTGCTTGAACCCAAGCGGAAACAAGCATTCGATGCACAGCACGCTGCTGGCACCGGAATCCCATTCCCAGCATCTTTCGAGGGAAACATTCACCCTCCACTCAAATTCGCAGTCTCATACAGCGGCTTCGCGGCGATTCCACCACCACCACCACCACCACAACAACAACAACAAGACGGCAGCACACCAACATCGCAGTACATGGCGTTTTACGAACCGGAAATCGAGACTCCCATCTTACATTTTCTGGGAACGCAGGATGTGGTGATTGAGGAAGCGAGGAGTCTGGTGCTGGTACAGCGGTGTAAGAGGAAAGAGGACAAGTACGTCGTGTATCATCCCGGTGGACACTTTTTGCCGAGCACGCAAAAGGCGAGTGTGAATGCGCTTGTGGGGTTTATCAGGGAGGTGCTTTGGGAGCAGGAGGGCGCCAAGGAGGAGAACGAGGATAATCTGGAGGATATTATGGGGCATTTTGATGCTAAGAAGCCTGCGGTGGCGGAGCAGGAGGCCAAGTTTCATCTTTGAGAGGTTTAGTATAGGGGTTGGGAGTGGGGGGGTTTATAGAACAAAAGAGTATGGGTTAGATATAGATCGCCTCCGTTTAGCAGATAGATCATCTTTAACAGTAGACTATGTCAATTGTTGTATTGACTATGCGGTTCTCTACAGTGACTAGAGACAGGAAACTTTTACTCGAAATCTTGTGCAGTGGTCGAACGAGGAGAAATTAAGAACGCTTCTTCGGCGTTAAAACTTGAAAAAGACTCTTTCCTGCAAATCAGAAGTTGAGAGAAAGTTGGATATAAATGCAGAAAAGGTGTCCAGAATCGTTTCTCTTAGTCTCAGAGATACTTTTAGTTTTTGGATAGAGAGAGCGAGAGATTCGAACTCTGGAGGAGACTGCAACGAAGACATGTATGTTGAACAAGAGGCCAGGATTGAAGTATTCAAAGTTTCATTCGTCTGTCTTGACGTGACTAGAGCGGAGGTAAAGGAAAAGAAAAGAAAGACTCAAATGATTCCAACCTCCATAGGAGTGAATGTGTGTGGAAAACGCCGCCCCACCGTCCATGCAATGCCCTTCCGTATCCTGTTCCCAGATTCCGTAAACGCCAACAAGCCCAAAACAAGACGCATGTCAGAAACCAGGCAGATGCCAAAAAGCATGCAAAGACGCAACCACCTCTCTCCCACAACACCTGGCAGACTAAAAGGCAATATCCACGGGCGCCAGCTCTTGCGAGGAGGCAGCAGCTCAGACTGGAAGCCAATCGCCGCCGCGATGAAGGAGGGGAGTGAGCAAGAAGCAAAAGCACAACTTCGACACCTGCTGATAACCTTTGAAAACAAAGAGAAAATCAAAAAGCACTAAACACCTTTATCCCAACACCGAACCGCCCAATGCATGCATCATGTCCAAAACTCCCACAGGTAGCATAGCTTCGTACCGTCCGCACCATTCAATCTAACATTTAAAAGAGACGCAACTTCCTAGGCGGGCCCAGAGAGCTGTTGAAGAGAGAAGAATCTACAGGGCGCTTCTTGGTTGTCGAGAAAGCATGAGGAGCAGGCTTGATAGCCGAGAAGCCCGATTTTGACGGAGTAGCGACGAGGAAGAGTGGCCTAGAGGGAGTCTTGATGGCAGCCTTGCTGAACAAGAAAGTAGACTTCTTGTTAGGCACGGTGCGAGGAGCAAGAGGGCTCCTGTCAAAGAATGCGCCGATCTCGCTGTTCTCCTTGTCGTCATTGAAGGAACGGTCGAACTCGGAGCTGGTAGGAGTGCTGGGCATCTTGCACTGCGACGAAGGAGGAAGAGCGTACTTGGAGGGTGTCTTGGCGGGCGTAAAGGGCTTCATGGTAGTGGTTGGGAGCGGAGACGCTGGCTTAGCGACGGAGAGATCAACCAGATAGGGATCTTCATCCATACGCTTCTTGTTCGACTCGCTGTCCAAGACCCAACCGACATTGACGCACTTGATAGCACCTTTGCTCGAGAGACACTTCTCCAGCGTCGACATGCTTCCATCCTTGAAGAGAACGTGAGTTAGAGAAGCATGGGAGATGTCCTTGACGACCTTGGCACCAAGGTCCTCTAGAAGACCGCGGAACAAGAAGTTTTGCTCCTTTCCGTTACGAGTGACGTCGACGTAGAAGACGGTGCCCTGAAGAATGCCGTCGTCCATAAATATCTCGCTCTCGTCAACTTGAACGTCAGTCCAAGCAACAGACTTCTTCGGAGTCTTGGTATCCATAACCTTCATTGGTGACCTCAGCGCGGACTTCTTAGGTGACGCTGGCTCTGGCGCTGCAAACGTGGGAGCGAGTTGCAGGGGCTTGAGTGGCATGCTTGCTTTCAGGTCACTAAAAGAAGGGGCCTTGATGGCGCTCACAACATCAACTTCGCTGAATTCACTAGCTTCAGTAATCTCACTGACATCACCAATCTCGCTAGTCTCTTCGAAGCCGAAAGATACCTTCTCCTTACGACTGGAATGGCGTATGGGTGAAGGCGTTTGTTTCTTGACAGATGCAGTAATCTCCTCCTGAAGAGCAGCCTCAAGCGCGAGACTGGGCGTAGTTGGGTAGTCTGGTAACTCAGCGAGAGCCCTGCGTGGAGTGATTGGTGCCACAATGTGAGCAGGAGTCTTCGGATAACCGGGGAGCTCTGCCATTGCTTGTTGCGATGTGACAGGAGCAGTGATGTGAGACGGGGTAGCCGGGTATTCAGCGGGGAGCTCCTCAAAAGCTTCTTGATCGGTGACGCCCCAGACAATCTGCGCAGGAGGGGTGCCAGGGAGATCGGCACATGCCTCTGGGGCAGGAGTAGTAGCGTGGTAGGATGTCTCGGATTGAAAAATCAGAGGAGACTTGGCTACTGGTGTAGCGGAATTGTCGGCGGTAGATGGAAGATTTTTAGCCTCTTCTTGCTCGTTGACGACAGGAGCTGCAGCGTCTTGAAATTCTTCCGATGCATCCGTAGAGACAGGAGCCTCGATTTCTGCATCATTCATAACTTCATCATGCTCGGATGGAGAAATCTCCTGTGCGTCTCCCATCTCGACATCGTGGTCGACAGCCTCAGCCTCTTTCTCTTCGGTGGGAGGGATGACAGGTGCAAGAATGTGAGCTGGTGTCTTCGGGTAGTCGGGCATCTCAGCCATTGCGTCCTTGATAGAAATGGGAGCTTTGATATGAGCTGGGGTCTTGGGGTATCCTGGCATCTCAGATAAAGCATCCTTAGTGCTCATAGGTGCACTGATGTGCGCGGGTGTCTTGGGATAATCAGGCATCTCAGCCAGTGCAGCTGCAGAGCTAATTGGGGCCTTGATGTGAGCAGGCGTCTCAGGGTAGTCGGGCATCTCGGCTAGAGCATCCCTTGAGTTGATGGGTGCCTTGATGTGTGCTGGTGTCTTGGGGTATCCAGCGAGCTCCGCGAGCGCGTCCTTGTTAGAGACGGGCGCAACAATGTGCGATGGGGTGTTGGGATAGTTGGGTAGCTCAGCCAAGGCTTTCCTTGAGGTTATTGGCGCTGCGATATGTGCGGGTGTAGTAGGATACTCCGGGTATTCTGCCATAGCCACTTCAACTGGCTCATCGACCAACTCCTCGGCTGGCTTCTCGGCTGGCTTCTCGGCAGACTCTTCAACTGGCATCTCGACAACCTCCTCGGCTACATCTTCATCTTCGGCGGGCTCAGCCTCAGCTTTTGGAGTTGAAATGGTAACAGTCTTCTTTGTAGGTTTACGGGCTGGCGCCTTGAGAGGTGATTCTTGTGAGATTACGGGGGCCTCTCGTCCGCGTGTGGCTCTTGGCGCAAGTACAGGGACGGGTGTAGGTGCCGCTTTTGATGCTGGTGCTGAGGCTGAAGCTTTGGGTACTGCCGGTTTACGCGTGCGGGTTGCTGGCTTAGTGGTTTCGACCGCGATGGGCTCCTCGACAATTGGAGTTTCGGTCTTCTTGATGACAGGCGCCTTTTTGACGGGGGCCTTGCGCGCCCGTGGCGCGGCCTTTGGAGCCTCTTCGACAATGGGCTCCTGAACGACTGGGCCTTGGGTGGCCACTGGCTCTGCGGCCTTCGGTGCAGCTGTCTTCTTCACTGGAGCGATCTTGCGCGCTCGAACAGCCGCTGGCTTGGGTGGCTCTTCATCAGCTTGAAGCTCGTCTATATCATCAGGCTCCTCAGCCTTGCGGCCGCGCGTCGCCCGCTTTGGTGCAGCAGGGACTGACTCTGCCTTTGTCTGAACTTTTGTTGTGCGTGTTGTTTTTGTCGCGACAGTTTTCTTGGCCACTGGGGGCTCGGCGTCTTCAGGCTCGGTCTTTGCTTTGCGTTTTGTAGCGGTTGTTTTGGTGGCCTTCGCGGGAGCTGGTGCAGGCTCAGCAGCTTGTTCAACAACAGCCTTGGTTCTGGCGCCGCGCTTGGGAGGGGCACTGAGGGTGCTGGAGGGTGCAGATGAGGCTACTGGGGCCTCTTTCGCACCGCGACGTGTAGCGACCATGATGAATATCGATGTTCGCTATCTTTCAGTGTGTGTATGTGGTTGCTGGATTGTTAGTGGGAGAGAGGATGAGTTGAGTATGTGTGGACGTGCTTGCCCGTGTTGTGTTGTCAGAGCGCAAACTGCCGCTAACTGTGTTGGGATGAGCGTTGTCCCGGCAACGGTGATGGCGTGGCGTGCAAGTGCCGGCAACGGGCAGATCCACGCCGTCACCGCTGTCTTACAACAACACGGGTACGGATAAGCCGGGCAACTCAGCGCTATTCCCAATGTCAACCATTCCCCACATACAGCCTCATTTTCTGGTAGCCCCATCCATGTCCGTTGTATGATTGTATTGTCTATTATTCACTCAACCCGTATGACCTCCATTCCAACACCGCATATCAGAATCCTGGCATATGTCGTACCATCACCTGTGTCCAACACAGCCATACTCGACACGTCTGCGACACTTGTCTTGACCTTGCCTAGCCTCCGGATCTTCAGGGCGTCTTCGGTCACCGGCCGACTACTTCCCTCGCCTTTTGCGTCTGGATCTTGTAGTGTGATTTCCCATTGCCTAACCCACTCGTCATTCCCAGATGTAAGAAGCGTTATGTGAGACCCGCGCCGATACAATGCGCATGATGTGACAGCTGATGCATGTGTGCGATTTACAAGTATTGGAGGGGAAGCGTATGATGTCGTCGGCGATGCTGTAAGTGAGGGCGAAGAGCGCATGAGCAGGAATGCCAGGCTGCCGTCATCGCCGCCAGACACAACCAGCTTGTCGCCATTATCCAGGCTTTGAGACACCATGACCTTCGAGGAGTTTTGGTGTATCCTTGCAGGATGAGTCCATGTCAATTTTGAGATGGCATCTGGAGATTCGGCAGGCAAGCTATGTGTCTTTTCTATTAGTGGCCATGTCACGGCATGACCATCTGTACCAGCCGTCAAGATCGTGGTTGCAGACAAATGTATGCATTGTGTAAGGCATGATGTGAAATAGAGACCTTTGGCGAGAGGCTCCCACTTTGTGGCAGCTACAGGATCGTAACGATAGGCCTGAAATATATCAATACCAGAACGACATTGGGGGGTCAAAAGAGCAGGAATTTTCACCTTGATGCTAGAGTCTGAGAACACCATTGTAATTGAATGGGCAGTGCCACAAGTCGTCGCATCGAAAGACATGATTCTTAGATCCGCATACTCGCTTTCTGGAGTATAGACACTCTCACAAACGACACCAATGTCAAGAGACGATGATGGTAGATCCCGGACACGCCACACATAGACTGTGGCAATGATTAGCAAGTTGCGCCATGGGTTACGTTAGGACAATAAAAACTTGGGACATACACTCTTCACAGCCGCCGCTACTGAACAGATAATCGCCACTCTCCGACCACTGGAGATGTTGGATTCCAGTCGTGTGTTTCCGAAGCGTCCTTTTGCAAACTAGATTTCCATCGGTGTACTGAAACAGCTTGATATCTGTGTCCTCGGCTCCTGTTGCGATGAGACGGTTGCGAGACCTTAGATTTTCCTTGGACGACACGGTGAGCGCTTTGATTTCACGCCCATGACCACCGGAGCGGATAACTGTATGGTTCATACCATACTGGCTATAGATATGCATACTAGAGGCTCTAGTCCACACAAGCGTTCCTCCTAGTGTTAAATTTGGGCGATATGTCCAGCTTCTATGTGCACCCCCTGTGTCGATGCTCATCACCTCTTCTTCGTTGGTGACATCGTAGAGATACCATTTCTTACTTGAGAACCCATGAACGAGTAGATGATTCCCCTGAAAATATAGGCCCTCTAGATTAGGACCAAATGGCAGGGCAAGGTCGTGAACTAAGGTGCTGGATCCTGTAGACAGATCCATATCATGCACAGTAAGACGCCCATCCCGCCCAGCTGAGTACAATTGGGCCTGGGGTGACTCTGCAGGATAACTGACCCATTCCAAACAAGTGACTGTCTCACCGCCATGTGCTTTATCAATGACCTTAACCAACGTGGCTTGGCCTTCATCCACATCTATGCTGTACAAGGCGATGGAACCACGTCGAAATCCAACCGCTATGAATTCTCTATCAGAGATTCGTAGATGGGCCATACTTGTGACAACAGCTCCCGTCAAATGATCTGATATAGGTACTTGTACGTTTTTTGATATCTCCGTATCGTGCGTAGGATCCACGTATAACAACTGCGCTTTGCCCTGCCCAACAAGCGTCACGAGTAACACTGTTGCATTCCGGTAGGAAGATTCCAGCACATTCGCGGCGAATATTTCGCCGACCTTACTACCCATTGCATACAATTTGGTCAATGTCGCGGCATTTTTACGGTAGACATAAATGCTGCCGTTGGCGCCTGCGATGAATGCAATGCCGGGTTGAGAGCTACTTGCACAAACGGAATAGCCGGCAAGGTCTTCTGGCTGTCCAAGGAGGGTAGAGCTTGTCAGAAGGCTTGTGTCGTTCCGATCCGAATCAGAGGATAGAGATGCGACCAAGACTTTGCCAGAATTGGTTGTAAGTAGGAAAGTAGTCTCATCTACAAAGCAATAGCTTCTGAAAAATTCTGCCTTTTTCGAGGATTTTTGAACACCGGTTGATAGGGCATCCGCGCCACCAAAAACAGTAGACTGCGTCCATGATAGTACATCGTTCACTGTGTATTCGGCGACACCCCAGGGTATATTGTTTGCAACCTGTAAAACTCGAGGCAGCGGTGTGGACGTGATCTTGCTGTCTGCCCCTCCAGCTATCACTTGCTGCGACCCGGTAGGATTATGAGCGATGATAGAAGACCACATGTTCTTGCCGCTGTGGTGTGCGGCACAGTCCAGCTCTAGTAATTTGTATGGAAAGTTGGATTTATCTGCAGAGTTTGGCGAAAGCTCCCAAGTCCTTGCTGTGGCGTCTTCTCCAGCTGATTGAAGTAAAAGCGACCCACTACAGGGTGACGTTTCGAGAAAGCGTATTGTCCAGACACGAGAAAGATGCCCCCAACCGATGGCTAGACAATCTGAACTGCCAAACTCGTGGGCGTCAAAAGCCTCATTGCTGAAGCCGGTATGACGCGTCCTTGGTACTTCGGCTCCATTATCTTCAGCTTTTGGTCCGATAGCATTCGTGTTAACGTCTGATACATCCCACACTCGAATCGTTCGATCATCGCTGCAACTTGCGACCACTCGCCTCAATTTCTGGCAGCACTCGGTTGGGAGCTCCTCCGAGATACGGACACCAAAGATCGACCCTTCGTGACCAAGAAACACGCGGTGAACAAGAGATGCCTGGCCATCAACAGTGTCATCAGACCATGACCAGTAGATGATCTCGCCAAATGCCGTGCCAGCAGCGACAAGGACCCGATTCAGATTTTCCCAGGACAGGTGCGCAGAGTAAAGGATAGATCGAGAACTCGATGTCAAGTCCGAAATGTTGACTGAGATAGCTCTGAGAAAATTATGTCAGTGAATGTGTCCCAGTTGAGCGAGGATAGCGTCAGAGATGCGCACCCATTTGGCGACGCTGTGTCTGTGGTTATTTGGACCGTCACTCGCAGCAGAGCATTATGAGCGGTCACAGCAACACAAATTCCTTTTTGATACGGAGAGTCATCAGACAAACCTGCTGGTCTAGGTGCAAGGTCAAAAATCCAGTCTGGCGCTTTAGCAACGTTTGATGAAAAAAAAGTCAAGCGATCATGATCATCGGCCGCCGAATGGATCTCAAAGGCACGGACTAGTCGCCCTCCCCAGGCGATAAGCTTAATGGCACGCGCATGCTCTTCCGAATAGATGCGTATACCGTGCACTGCTTGCGCCTTGAAGACGCGTTGCGAAGCAATGCATCGTGAGTCCTTGGCATGATAGAAGCGTAGAAATGGGCCTTCTGCGGCAATGTACAGGGAGGCGCACGAGGCCAATGCGGTCACAGGTACGCGAGTGCATTCATGCTGCTTTGATCAGTAGCAATCTAGGTTTTGTCGATGCGCGCTCACATGCAGAGTCGGTGACATTGGCGACAAAGGACGACACGTGAGGTGCGAGAGTATGGCAGAGGGAAATTTGGGGTTGAGTCAGCCCCGCGCGACTTCCGTTGCGAGTGCAAGGCGGGGCAATGACGAAGCGTTTCTGCGATTTTTTGTCCATGCTAGTATTCTATGCGCCTGAGTGGCGGCACACAGTACAGCTCACACCACAACCACCCATCTTCTTATTTGCACTCACCACCACACCGAAATTTGCGCATAATCCGTCAAAATGGCTCTAGCAGGTCCAGCAGGCACAACCATCAACCCGGAGGAGACGGAGAACTTCGAGGAGGTACGTGGGGCAGGCGCCTGAGCGCGAAAGCCGGTGCAGGTGCAGACCGACTAACAAACATGTAGATTGAGAAGCAGTTCGCCGTCAAAGGTACAGCAAGCTATGCGCACCGAATGCGACTTCTTCTAACACGAATGCGCAGTTGTGCAGCATATGGAGACATACTGGAAGATTCTTGAAAAAGTCCCAGGTTCTAAACTGCGACTGACCAAGATCGACGACGAAATCTACGAACATCTCAAGAAGGACTTCCCAGAGTTCGATGCCTCCGCCACATTGAACGAGGATGAAATGAAGAGCAAGGAGGGCAAGGAGCGGTGGCGCAAGTTCATCACCGAGTATGAGCACAAGGTCGAGGACTACAACTTCGGCACAATGCTCCGCGCAAGCCACAAGACCGAGTACGACCAAGAAGGCACCATATTTGCTGTTCGCATGCAGTTCTACGCCATTGAAATTGCACGGTCAGTTTGCACCGCTTGTAAAATCCTAATTAATACTGATTTGAACAGCAACCGCGAAGGCTTGAACGACTGGATCTACGAGAAGGCACAGGGAAAATAATCCAAATATAACAGTTTGCATAAGATAGATACCCACCCCATGTGCTGGGAGTTTAAACGTGTACCAGCACTAGTTACATGCAACCCGCGACTGGCCTAGCCTTCGATCAAGCCAATCAGAAAGTTGGTTCTTTGTTTGTCTGCGCCCGTTCCTAAAAAAGCGACCGTTTACGTCGGTGAATCGTCCGGGACGGTAGACTGTGTTGGGATTGGGAATACATCAAAGTCGCCTCATGTGCAGATACATGATTCTGCTCATGCATATCACAACATATCATCAAGTCGCTGCACCCGATTTTCGATCTAGCAAGGTTACAAATAACAAGTTCAACAAGATCATACTAGTGACAGGACGAAGAATATGGAGTACCGTGATTTCAAATAACCGTGCCATTATGCGCAGAGAACAATATTAAGGAAAATCAGCGCGCAACGTGAAAGCAACTAGGTCAAACCGCCCTTACCACCACCACACGCTAGATCGCACCTGGCAATCCCTTGCGCCCAAAAAGTGCAGTCCAAGTATATCATATCATTCTCTCTATGTAAAAGCCCAACCCCAAAGATCCAAATGTAATTCGATCTCCGATGCATGAGGAATGAGAAAGTTGCTGTTTCTACTCACAAATCTTCGGCTTGAGACCCAGATTACGCAACATCCCAAACTGCTCACAATGTTAGATAGCTTGATATCCTCATTTCATAGAGAAGGAGTGTAAACAGTATTCATTACTTGAACAATTTACCGCTGGGGCGCGGCTGAACATTCTCGTACAATATCAGTCGTTCATTCCAAATTTAGATATTTCGGACCAAACATGCGGCTGACTGCAGGACAATAGTCTATGTTAGTGAGCTGATACCTTTGTCGCTTCTGATCAAGATTTCACAAGGGCTGGTACAATACGATGTCTAAAACGGAGCGCTTCGTGCAAGCTGCAAACAGACAGAAGCAGCCTGTGTATTCACCAGGCTCAGGTCCCAATTGGTCCCGACGCACTATTGCGCTTTCACTTTCACTTGATATCGCAATCTCATCCATGTGTGGCTCTGCGCTTCAATCTCAACGACGCCCCCACTTTCTCAACACAATCGAAGCCTCCGAGCAGGCAATATGGCTACTACCGCGCCTTCGCATGGTGCCAGTAGCCATGAGATAACGAACGCACAGGCATCTGGGGAGCAAAAATATATGTCAAAAGCCAGCTGGAAGGTTCTGTTTGGCTTCACCACAACACGCCATGTGCCAGTAGTACTATGTGGCCTTCTATCGACGACCGTCGCCGCCCTCACAATGCCCGCTTTCGCAGTTCTCTATGGGCTTGTTTTCGGGCAGTACACCATGTATGGCGCTGGGTCAACTGACAGCCATACGCTAATGAGCAACATGACGAGATACTGTATAATACTTGCAGGAATCTGTACACTCAACTGGATCGCGAACAGTCTCCAGTACCTTTGCTTCCTTACATTCAGTGAGCTACAGGTGCGGAGTGCCCGTAATCGGATATTTGACGCGCTCATCAAGAAAGACATGGCGTGGTATGACACGCGCGAAACTGGAACTGCTGCATTTCTATCGACACTGCAGGCGTAAGTGGCTAGCCGGAACCTGAATATTGCTCCTTTCAACTGATAAAATGCAGGCATATCCGTGGGTTCAAGCTCTCAGTATCATCACCATTAGGCGAATTGTGTCAAGCAGTCGTTCAGAGCCTTGCGGCTCTGGGAGTCGCTTTCTACTTTTCTTGGAAGCTAGCACTGGTTGTTATGAGCAGTATCCCGTTCCTCTACTTGTTCCTAACACTGATTGCGAACCGACAATTATTTCGAACACGCGAACAGTCCGAAATGCTCCAGGCTGCACTGAAGTACATGACAACCGCAATATCCAATATTGAGGTAATCAAGAGTCTTAACGGGGAACAGCATGAACTCCAAATCTTCGAGAAGACTGCCTGTCTTGCAGCACGCCTCTATAGACGGGTAGCGAATTTCCGATCAATGCAAATTGGAATCATGCAGTTCTTCACCATCAGCATATTCGTCCAAGGCTTTTGGTACGGTAAATACCTAGTCGGTAATGGAGATGGTGAAGCCTCAGACATTCTAACTACCTTCTGGTCAGTCCTCATGGCCACGTCTTCCTTGGCTTCAGTGATGCCCCAATTGGTAGTCTTGACCAAGGGCCGCGAGGCTGGTGCCAACCTGGGTATGCTCATAGAACATAACCCCACATCTGACCAGCAGCTAGAATTGCAAGGTCATATCAAACCTGCTCGGTGTCTTGGCACCATTGAATTCATCACGGTATGCTTATCTCGCCTCATCTTTGGGAGAAGCTGCTAATAAGACAGGTCAATTTCTCTTACCCTTCTCGCGCAGAAGAGGTAGCACTTCGGGATGTCTCACTGTTCATGCCAGCGGGCGAAACGACTTTCGTCATCGGAAAGAGCGGCTCTGGCAAGAGTACCCTTGGCCAGCTTCTGGTGCGCTTTTACCATCCCTCCTCTGGCCGGATACTTCTTGATGGTGTTCCACTTGAGGATCTAGATGTACGATGGCTACGAAAAAATATTACACTTGTGGAGCAGCATAGTGTGTTATTCAACGACACTATCCATGACAACATTGCGTTAGGGAAAACAGGCGAGATACTGCATATGCAAGATGTCCTCGATGCTATCAGATTCGCAAAGATGGACCTGGTTGTAAAAGGGCTCCCTGACGGACTAAACACCGAACTCGGTTTAAAGGGTGATTCCATAAGTGGTGGTCAGAGGCAAAGACTGGCGTTAGCACGAGCAAAGATCAGGGATTCGCCCGTTCTGATCTTAGATGAGTCTACCAACGGTCTCGACTATGCTACAAGAGTGGGGATATATGAAGCAATACGAGAATGGCGCAGGGGAAAGACGACAATTATTTTTACCCATGATATCTCCCAGATTTTGTCTGATGACTTCCTCTACCTGTTGGGAGACGGCAGAGTAATACAAGAGGGATACAGAAAGGAGCTTGAGGCTCAAGGAGGGCTATTTCAAACCTTCCTTGAGCCACATGGAGAAGAAGAGGAGCAGCTTTTCAGTGATGCTGATGGCGACAGATGCGCAGAAGATATTAAAACGAATAAGCCACCGAGATATGGTACACAAACAACTCAACATTCCTTTACTGGGTGGCGAAATTCCCAGGTATCAACTCGTCGAAAAGGGTTGCTAGATGCAAGATCTTTCTTAACAAAAGAAATCGACTTAGGATCAGGAGATGTGGTACTGGAGCGGCTCCCAAGGTTTGATACAGATGAGTGGAAAGCTTATCTTCCAAAAGAAGTCGGATTACGACCAAACTCCATACTCTTAGTGCAACACACATCGCCTACGAGCCAGTATCCGCAGCCTCTTCAAACATCCAGTCCGATGCCTGCACGGCCAGAGACACCAAAACAACAACGAAAGTGTAGCCATATTCTCTCTCGACTTCGACTTTCGCGTCACAAGAAGAATGCGTCAGACAAACCTCCCACCTCAACAGAATCACTTTCCCTAGAAGAAATCTTTGCATCAGTCTGGCCCGCAATAACTTGGCGCTCCCGCATACTTACCTTTGGTGCTCTCGTGTGTACCATCATCCACTCGGCCTGTACTCCAGTCTTTGCCTGGGTCTTCGCACAACTCCTCAGCACATTTCAAGAGTCCGCCTCTCAAAGCCGTAACAAAGCGCGTAACTACGCCCTCGCAATCCTTGGTATCGCTACTGCCGACGGTCTCTCAAAATACTTGATGTTCTTCCTTTCAGACGCAGTAGCACAAGCCTGGAGCTTATCACTGAAAAGAGAAGCTCTGCGTCGGATTCTGCTACAACCGCGCGAATTTTTTGACAAGGAAGAGAATAGCACATCTCGCCTAACCGAAACACTCGACCACTTTGCCGAGGAAGCGAGGAATCTGCCCGGAAGATTCGCCTGCATATTCCTTGCCATGGTACTCATGGTAGCAATCTCCATCTCATGGAGTATGGCTATTTCATGGAAACTAGCGCTTGTAGCGCTTGCGATGGGCCCTATACTCTTTACAATCACAAATTGCAACAACATGATCAGCAATCACTGGGAGAAGCTATCTAGCGAGGCCGAAGACAAAGTAGGAAAGGTGATGCACGAGACGTTCGTGAATATCAGAACAGTCCGGTGTCTGGGGCTAGAAACCCATTTTCGGAAGAAGTATCGCCATGCAACGACCGAAGCGGTCAGGCTAGGTATGAAGCGCGCCCTCTATTCTGGGTCCATCTTTGGTTTGGCATTTACGGGCGTCATATTTGTGGCTATTCTGCTGTACTGGTACGGCGCACTGCTCATGTCGAGGAACGAGTATACGGCGAGCAAAGTCATGGAATGCTTCTTGATACTCATGCTGAGCGTCAATTACATCAGTTCTCTGGCCCAGTACATCACTCAGATCAACATCTCAAGAGACGCCAGCACACGACTACTCCGCCTGGCTCGACTTCCTATGGACTCCCATGAAGCAGCAGGAAGCCTACCAATCCAATCCATCACGGACATCAACTTCAAAAACGTAAACTTCACATACCCATCTCGCAAAGACACTCGAATCCTCCACAACCTCACCTTCCCCATCCCCCATGGATCCTGCACCGCCATCGTCGGATCCTCTGGCTCCGGCAAATCCACAATCGCCTCCCTCCTCCTCAACCTCTACCAGGCCGACACCGACACCACAAACCCCACAAGCGGCCTCTGGCTCTCCTCCCAAAACATCTCTACCATATCCACCCCTTCCCTCCGCTCCCGCATAGCCCTCGTCCCCCAATCTCCCGTCCTCTTCCCGGGTACAATCGCTCAAAACATAACATACGGCTTATCCCCTTCCGCCCCGGAAACAAGCCCAGCCTCCATCCGCGCCGCAGCCCACGCAGCAGGCCTCTCCGACTTCATAGATAGCCTAGCAAACGGCTACAACACGCTCGTCGGTGCGGGGGGCACCACGCTATCCGGCGGCCAAACCCAGCGTCTCGCCATTGCACGCGCCCTTGTGCGCAACCCCGACGTCTTGATTCTCGACGAGGCAACCAGCGCGCTCGACGTCTCGTCTATGAACGTGATTCGCGAGACGGTCATGCGGCTTGTGGGGCGGAAACGCGTCAGTCCTGCTAGGAGTAGTAGCGGTAGCACTACGGGTTCTGCATCTGCTGGGTTGTCCGAATACTATGTGCAGAGTGGTGAGCTGGGTACAAGCGCGACGTCATTTGGTGGGCTGGATAAGGGGAAGGAGGAGAGGAAGCGTATGACGGTTGTTGTGATTACGCATGCGAGGGAAATGATGGCGGTTGCGGATCATGTTGTTGTGATAGAGCAGGGGAGGGTGGTTGAGCAAGGGGGTTTTCAGGAGTTGAAGTGGAAGAGGGGGTCGGCTCTTGAGAGGGTGTTGAGAGGGGAGGTGGTGTAGTTGGGTTTGGTGTGGTGGGTTGAGAAACGGTGGTTTATAGCCCCGAGATCCCATCGAGGAGCTATCAAAAGGGCGTTCAGCCCGTTACACTAAGTAAGGTTTCCTACAGTAGGAGAATGTAACGGGCTGAACGCCCTTCGCCTCCCATACTCGTCTGCGACCTCGTTACTCCACCTGTCTAGCCCGATTGTTGCTCAGGCAACCATCTCATCTTCTATTTGTATATGGATAGACCAGAGCTTAGCTCTCTATCGAATACAATCTTGTTACCCAGGCCTTGCCCAATTGTGCTCCCGAGCTTAAGACTGCTCCCCGGAGCTGCGCCCCTTATAGAGAAATAATAAAGTTAGTGCTTTGCCCAAGCACGGAGGGACCAAGAAGGCTGCGAAAGCGTGCTCCGTGCGTAGGGCCTGACCAAGAAGGGCTACGTCGCTCAAAGAATCAAGCTAAGTATCAGCGGCTTTCGAGTTTATCGATCTGGTGTATGCTCAAGTTATTATTATCCTATTGAGACACTGCAGACCCAATCTGGCAGTAGAGTTTCGCATTAGTCACTTGGATTCTGATCATTTCCTAATACAACGATGTAATTCTTAAGATGAAAACGACTGTTCGCATGTACCCGCTTGGATTACCAAGTTTTGAAATAAGCTACTGTAAATATAGAACCCTCGCACAACGCTGCTCAGCCCAAGATGGAATCGGCTTGTTTACCGCATAGCTGACTCCGCCCGACACCAGTTCATAGCGTATTAGCTCCGGGTCCCTGTCGGATATGACCGTACTGCGCTCGGACCATCTCAACCTGACCTCCCTTCTTGACATATAGTATGGCTTTCGTCCAAGCTTTTGCATGGCGCTGGGGATCGCTGCTGCAATGAAGATGTCGTCGTCACCGAAGCCACCAATGTTCCCAATGGGGTAACTAGCATCCACGAAAATTATCAGGCCTTCGTCACTGGAGGCTGGTCTCCAGGTTAGGCGAACCAATTTATTAGGTTTAAGGTTTTGGCGTACTACCTGCGAGGATCGTTTCGCTTGGAGCGATTCCGCGTCTGCGCCATAACAAGTACTTCTCTTCCCGGGTTGCGTTATATGGTCACTGAGCTTGCGAAATGATATTGAGTACCATTGAAGAGCCTTTTCCAACTGCTCAGCTGCTGGTGTGCGCGGCCTTGCGAGAAGCCCTTTGGCCCACTCACGCATTTCGGCAGAGTCTCCTCTATTGACCAATTCATTCAGTTCATGTGCGGTGTCCCCGTCGAAGAGCGTATGTTCAAAGCTCAGTGCAACATGAAGTCCTGTCAAGATAATGGCGCGCTTTTTTTTCCAATTCACAAGGATGATAGCTTGCTGCAAAAGCTCGTCTACATCGTCGCCGAACCTGCCAACTTCCATCCAGCCAGGGACAAGGTCTTCTGTATAGTTGCCGCCGATGCTAAAAGTGAGGAACTGCCCACCTCCGACATTCCCCTGGACGCTCCGGGACTTTGGTTTGTTCATTACGGGTACCCCAGGGTGACCGCAAAACTGATGATTCGAACAACTCAATGTCGGCTGACGTGTAGTTTGGTTTTCGACAGGGTTCGGCGCAAGTTCCATGCCCAAAATTATTGAATCTGGCAAAACGATAGGACTTCCACGTCTATCTTTGAGTAATCTTCCTTCTTTCCCAGTATTCCCTACTTGTGGAAGATCAATCACCCAGTAATCTGTATTTGGAGTCTGTGCGGCGATTGGCGAAGGAGTGATCGTTGCAGGCCCGTCCACCTCCCCTTCTCCCTCCTCCCCGGTCTCCTCCTCCCCAGTCTCCTCCTCCCCGGTCTCCTCTTCTTCCGCCTCTTTCTGCCAGCCCAAGACATGACCTCTCGATAGGCTGCGGTTTTGCGGCATAACTCTATATGTATTTGGTGGGTCAAGAATAATTGTTCCCCTTCGAGTTTCAATAAAGATCCTTTCCTCTCCCTTCTCATATGTCATTCCCACAGAAGCACCTGGGAAAATTTTAAATAAGTGGTTGGTCTGAATAAGCATGACTCCTGGCTCCAGAGCCCATGCTGTCTCCAGAGTTTCGGGGGTAAGATCGACAACCTCGTGCAACCCTTCACTCAAGGTGAAGATTGAGCACAAGTTCAGAATTTTAGTCCAGCAACTTGCGCGGTCAATCAAATTGAAAGGCTGGTGGCGAAACACATGGAACTCTATCTTCTTCCCGCTGAGATCGACGGGTTGAGGTAACCCAGACACAATCTTAAAAGAGTCGTCGAACCTCGACTTCGGCATTATCAGGGTATCCGGGGTATTCAGAGTAAACTGGGTGTAGACGGATCCATCAATTGGCTTCATCTCTCTTAAATACCAATCTAGTTCTTGGCCATAGAAAGCTGCAGTCGATGCGGTCAGAATTCCCCAGTACATCACAATGTTCTTCAAGTCTGCAATCCTCCCTTGAAGCGCAACTCCAGATAGAGTGGGAATGATTTTGAAAATGGACTCTTCAATGGGAACCGATTCAAGCGGCAAGATACATCCTTCATCAAGTGCACCAACCATGTCCCCGATCACGGTGAGAATTCTCTTGTAATTTTCGGATGGCTGTTTGAGAGTAACCAGCCTCAAGCCAAAAGGTGCAGTCTCTGAGGTCGCAACGGCAATAGCAGAGGGAAGGCGGCTGAGGAAGGCCGACCCACTATTCCTCCGCAACAGCGGCCGCAATTTGTCGTCGGCCAAGAATATTGCCCCTTCGTCCTCAAGATGTGTTCTTTCAATGATAGGCGCGGCGTTGGTTGCCGGGCTGTGTGAAATAGCCTCTGCATGGCTCCTTTGGCAGTCAAGCAAATACCTGAATGTTTTAAAGTCGATCGGCCATCCAATTTGGATGGCCTGACCTACGACTTCGTTATTGAGGATCTCAACGCGACGGTTCCTCCACTTGTCTTCCCCAATCTGGCCAAGTATCTGGATAGCCGAACCCTCCAACCTATTATTATGGATGAAGAGTTCCGTAGTTTCGTTATCAGATCTAGAACCTGCTGCACCTTTCGAGTCCATGACAGCGACTGCCTCTTCGTCTAGAAAAGCAACTTCGGCTTTGGTTAGAGACACTAAGCCGTCATCTACTAACTTCAGCCTGCAGCGATACCCAATAGTGATATTGACGAACCTTGCGGTGCCCGGCCTTTGAGTAGGCCGGCTAGCTTGAGCCCTTGGCCCTCTCCAATGATTTTTAGAAGGAGACGATCGAGTTGATGGATGACCTTAGCGTTGGCAAGAACATTGTCGCCAGTGGTGTACGTCAGTCCGACAGCGGCATTCTGAATCCGTAAGCAGATGTTGGATTTCGCACGATCGACCTCCGTCATGATATCCGCAAGCATAATCTTATCTTGCGACCCACCCACGAACTGGTGGGCAAGTGGATGCCTCGTTCCATTACCTCCCAGATCAAGTGTCTTCAAGTGCTGCACAAGCTCTGCTCCAACTTTTTGGAGTCTAGTCAAGGCGAGGACCACGTCTGTTGTTTGCAACGCATCTTCGTCCTCGATCAGGTGAACAATAGCGCTTATCTTAGTGAGATCGACAATGTAGAAGCCCAGAACTTCTCTGACGTTCTCCTGGACTGCGCGGGTATGAACTTCTTTGATAATGCGATTTGCGGTCTCTAGCAACCGGGAGGCTGCGGCGGCAACTATCAAAGATTCGGCCTTAAAACTCTAATTAGCGATATTTATACTCGCAACATAGTTAAAGAGCCCCATTATTATAAATAGTAATTATGGAAGATGCCAATTTGTACAACAATTGAGAATACTAGTGGGTGGTTAGGTTGAAGAAACCCCTCATCGTGTGGCGCAGCCTTTCTCTAGGATTCTAAGCGATTCAATGTAACGTGACGTATGTTACACAGGGTTCGGGTCTATACTTCTCTTGTCGGGTCCGCACTAAGGCCGGTGAGCTTTACGCTAGTGTTCCGTGAGGGTTGTCTGGCGATGCAGTAGAGTAGTGTGCTTGATAGAAGGTAACAATCGGTTTGACAACTACTGATCTATATTGCTATAACTAGACTAACAGGTAATAATCTTATTAAGTAAAGTAACTAGTAAGAAAATACAATTTGAGTTGACCACAACGAGAGTAATAATGAGATCCATCCATCCTTATATCCTCATTGCTACCAGTCCTGCTATCCCTGGGAAGGTTGCTCTTGGCGGGATGGCACACCACGTGACCTAACCCCGCGATGATCATTATCTTCTGACATGGACATCTATAGGCCCTCAGCCATCTCATCACTTGTCAAGGAGAGAATCCTTCCTGTTGCTTGCTGCTTGTAACAGCGTATTTTTAGCGGCTTATGACGTCAAAACTACTGCTTAGCTCAATCTCCTATTTTGAACATCCTATATATCTGACAAACTCCTCCTATAACGCTAGCAGGAAGGGCGACCGGACCGCTCCTACTAAGATTTTGTAGATGTTTCCAAATGTATAGATAATAGGCAGGTAGAGGTACATACACGCAACTACAGACATGAGATCGCCACATTCAAAGCCACACCGTTGTGAAAAGTGTTAACACTTATTTGGTAAGCGCCTTTCTGAGCGGCCGTACGTTCAAGAAAACCGAAGTGTAGGGACCAGAAGCTGATACCGGTCACCACTGTATACGCTTATTCTATCTACTTGCGATGCCTGGGATGTGAAAACAGAAAAGATTTAATACTTCATCTCAGTTTCGCATGTGACAGTATCACGTGATAGCGCTCAGGCTATGAGCGTATCCCCAGACTTTATGCATGTTCCCAGTAAAGCCCGCCTAGCAGTGACTGTCCAATGACTTACCGTGAAGGCACCCTAATCGATCTCAGCCCCTGTATCTCGTCTTCTCGGTACAAAAAAGTTGATTTTTCCAGTTATTCAGCATCTTTTCCCTTACCGCCCAGGGAGACTTCGAAAAATTGCAGGCGGCTAAAAATACAAGGGCTAAATAAGGGCCTCCTTTTTAGGGTCAGGCTTATCCCTCGTCGAGCTACGGGCTCGCTTCGTTCCTCCCCACCCTTCCCGTCACTTTTACCATTTTCATAGTGACTAAAGCTAACATGGACCGAGCAAGCCAAGTGCTGGTATAAGGCATTCCTTATGGCGTCCGCAATACATACCGCGCTCTAGCAGAACATTATAACGTCGCTCGCTCTACCCTCTATGACCGTGCACATAGCAAACGCTCGAGAGAAGAGAAGGCTTAAAGCTAATAGTATCTTACTCTATTTAAAGAAAAGGTATAGCGCTAGACTAGGATCGCTATAATATCTATGATAAGGTCGTGAATTAGTTTGATGTAATTGGGAAAATGCTACAGGATTAGACTATCCTTCTAGAAAATATCTATAATATGGACAAGACAGGGGTGATATTAAGTGTACTTAGTGGTAACAAATTCATTTTCTGAGGAAGGTAAACAATAAAGCTAAAGTTCGCCGATCTACTAGGTCACTAGTAATAGGGACGGCGAAGGTCATGAGCTATAAGGATCTAAGGAGGTAAGGAAGAAGCGTGCTGGAAAGGATATAGCTAAAGAGAAGAGTAAAGGAAAACGTGGTTGAAAGCGGAAGAATGCTGCGTTAGAGGAAGATGCGATAGGTCCGAAGGCTAAAGTAACACGGATAAGTGAAGAACTAGAACTAGCGAGAGCTTCAGTGACGTCCGTATAGGTTGTCCCAGTAGCTCGAATGTATTGAGATTATCGCAGCCTTCTTCTACATGTTGCGTTGTATTTGTTGCAAGCTAATCACTAGAGTGAAATAGCTAGAAAATAATTATTTTATGGCTATAACGCGATAGATTCGCGAGCGAAAAATTGACGTCTCTAAGTGATAGTCTTGTCCAGTTACACAGTGTGTCTGGTAAACTAGGGAGGGATGTTAAGGTAAGAATTTTTTATTTGAGATTCATGTCTATTCCGCTCTAGAACTTTCCATACTTAATTTCTTCTGACCCTTTTATGTTCATAGCAGCATTTCGTAGACGTACGTAGTGAGAGAATGTTCATTCACTGCTCCATCGAGCGTCACGTACAAAGTGATTCAATAAAACAAAAACAAAACACATGTATTTTTATGAATCATAGTTATGGAAAATTCGACAATACTTTGTAGAAATACTACCTTTGTATGTATCTCCTTCACAGCATACCGAATCGGGAAAAGGTCCATGAAAAAGCCACACAAAGAGCAAGTACGAAGAAACTTTCCTCGCTTCCTCCTCCATGTCGTATACCCAACTCTGATAGTTTCAATTTAGTTGAAGATCAATAATAAAGAAAAAGGAAATGAAACAAGACGCGAGGAAAGGAAATACGCATTCCCCACAAAGGGGTGATACGCGTATCCGAACCAGTGTCAAGGGTCGTGGAGAAAATTTCAATGGTCGAGCCCAAGTCAGTCGAAGAGGCATCGCGACAATTTGTTGCAGTTTGACCGGCAATTGGGTCTTGAAGAAACAGCCGTGCTCCGTGAGAACCAGTAGCCCGAGATCATGATCGCAACATGTTGGTCGATCATGGCACGTTATTATGTCAAGGGGAGTTTCTTCGACCACTGTACAATACAGGGGCTGACCCTACTCGATCCCTTATCTGTGCTGATGCCCTGTTTCTCGGTCATATGTAGCATTCCGGTTCAAACGCTCATGATGGTAATAGGAGTTGTGACTATTGCGTCTCTGTTGACGCTTATTCCCGTACGTCTAATTCGGCTCCCATAGCTTTCGTCTGTTACCGCCCCGTACTGGGCCTACCTTGGGAGCCGGACGAGAGAATGAGTCGGGGTCGAGTGGTGCGTTGGGATCATGACGAGGAGCTGGTGGGGCTCGGAAAGTCGGACCTGGGGGAACGTACGCGCCCCGAGGAGCAAAGTTACCACGGCCTCGAAAAGGTGCAGCGCCGCGACCGCGAGGCGATCCATGCCCGCCGCGTCCACCACGAGGGGATGGCTGCTGTGTTGTACGCGCGAAATCGTTGGGATCGAAAACACGTGGGTTGGGGCTATTGGTAGCTGCTGGACCGCGAGGGGCGCGCTTGAAGAGAACCTCATCCTCATCGTCTGATGTTTCCTCGGGCTTAGTCTCAAGTGCGGGACTGGATTTAGGTCGCTCCGTTGCTTTGGACGCGCCTGAGTTGTTGCCCTTAGCAGCACTCGCCTCGACCTCGAGTTTGTGAATGGTCAAATGGTTCTTGTATTCACGGTCTTCACGAGCAACCGCATCCCGTAGCTGCTCAAGGCGCTTGGCGCGGATGCCGAATTTCTGGGCGATTGCCTGCTTCGCAGGATCGTTCGTGAGGAGGATGAAGGACTCGAGGGCGGCATCTGGGTTTCCTTCCTTGTTGATGCGCCATAGAATATGATTGAAGAGGGGCTGGAGGTAGATGGGTACGGGGCCCTTGGTCGCCTTCCCAGAACGGGCGCCGCCAGTACTGTTAAGAGCGGTACGGCCCGGGGAGCCCCCGATCAAAGCTGCAGCCTTGTCGGCATGTGTGGCTCGGTTGGCGGGCTTGGTGTTCCTGCTGGAGAAGGAGCGCGGAGACTCGAGCGTCTTTGACATGTCGTCGAAGCTGTGAGTCGAACTCATAGATGTCTCGTCAGACATGTCAAGGGCGTTGAAGGAGCTCTCCAAGTCTTCGTGATAGTCATCGTCGTCCGACTCGCTGTCTTCCATGGAGAGCAGGGTCTCGGGGAGTAGGAAATGCTCCACCTCGGCCCAGGTGCTGTAAGCCTCGTCGGCACCTTCGAGCTGGACGCGGCTTGCGGCCTCGTTAGACGTGACTTCGTCAAGCCATTTGACGGCTTCGCGCGCGTCGGCGTTGATGCGCTCGGTACCATTCTTGAGGCGATGGAGCTGGGTGAGGGCTTTATTCTCATGTTAGCGGGGGGACAAGGAGGCGGCAATGCTGTGATCGCCTACTGTGCAGCGGGACAAAGAGGCGGATGGCGTCCTGAGAAATCCACTTGCGGATGCCGTCGCGCGTGCTCTTCTTGACGCCGGCGATGAGAGCAGTGTCGTCGACGATGCAGTTGAATACCTTGCGCCTGGGCGGCTCGGGGGCGCGCATGGCCGTATCGGGCTTGCTGGGCCGGGAGGGAAAAGTGCTTCGGCGCATGGTGGCGCGGGTGCCGTGGTGGCGATGGAGAAACTTGTCGCAGCGATGGGAAATGGGATGGTGGGCGGGCGAGGGCGGATATTGATTGCTGCGTCTGGGTTGGGAACCACGGGTGCGGCTTGCGCTGTTATTATCGGCGGCGGCTTTGCTGGGCGGAGCAACAATCCATTCGTCGTGGCGCAGTGTTTCAAGGCGTGGGCATTGTAGTCGCGCTGGGTCGGGGCAGCGCGCGAGGAAATGAGTCAGGCTGGGGAATGACGCAGCCCTTCATAGTCGTTGCGTTGGTGTGTTACTGTCACGGCGGTTGGGCAAGTGAAGTTCGGGCCCGCATTCCCCCAACGATGAGGTGCTCACGCCAAGTGGGGGTTGCGCCACACAGCCACAGTTCACGCAGCATTCATTCCATTCCTCGACATTGTACATACTAGTACATACTACGTAGTTGCTAGCCAGACCAAAAGACAACAATGCCCACTTTATTCCACTCATGCTAACTCAGTAGCTCTCCACCTCGTTGCCTCTTCCACTGCCGCTGCTCATGTCTGGCATCCAGCCTTTGGGACGCTCGTTTCCACGCACTGTGAGCCCATACAGCCCTTTCTCAACCTTGTCTACACACTCCCGCATTACAGGTATCTTCTTTGTCTCTAGCTCAGCTGCAAACTTGGATCCCCCAGGTACCTCAAACATCTCGAGCTGCAGCCGAACCGCCCTCAAGTCATCCAGGACAGTCCGCGGCTTGTGCGTCTCACTTGCAGCTGGCGTCTGTTCATCAATCTCCATCTTATCGCCACCGTCCTCCTGATCATGCTCCTGCTTCAGCCTCTTGTTTGAATCTGCCTGTTTGCTGCATGGGAGTTTTCCACTTGTCGCCATGCTTGTAACAGCGAACCGCATGAGTTCGCCAGTCATATCACACACACCCAAGATATAGTCTTCTGGCGTAAAAGTAATGGGTCCTGCTTCGCCGCTCATGCTAGCAATCCGTGATTTTGCCTCATTGTATGAAATGAGTGACTGTGTTTCCAGGTAGTGTTGGAAGCTGAGCGCTTCCATGAACTCTTGATTTCCGCCAGTGATATTATGAGAGTACCGGTAGGCATTGAGTCCTTGGAGATCGGCAGCAATGTTCTTGTATCGATCCTGGATAGTCTCCCAGTACTCAGCATTCTTCTTAGCCACCCAGGGCGGCAATGCTTGGCCAACAGCCCGGACCCTAGTCAGGTCAGATGATTATACGAGGATTGTAATGGCAAACAGCTCACCTCTGAAGCGTGAAGATGCTGTTGAATTGTTAGTTGCTAAACCCAATGTTGACAAAAAATCTAATACATCTTTTTGCTTGACGCGGTAATGTCGCGGGATGCTTTGATGATCCTTTCTCGACGATCGTGATGCTCGTCCAGCTCTGCACGGAACCCTTCGAACATGCTCACAAAAGGTGATGCCGATTGTTCTGGCTTTTCGTCCGCCATATTTCCGTCTCTTGGTCGTTTGAGCCCCATTGGTCTGCCTGGGTAATGCCTTGTAGACGACGTCAAGCAAATGCTGCGACTATGCACTAGTGCACGTTGTCACGTGAGAGCTATTCCTCTTGCGGCCTAGATCTATGCGACTGCTCTTGCATGCCACCATCTCCTTTCCGCTTGCACTAGGCCAATCCACGTACTTACTCTCCAATCGTCGCTTCATACACCTTTTTCCTCTCTTGTGTTTTTCCTTTGAGAGTGTGCTGGCTTTGTGCCCTCCAATGACACGATGGCTCTTTCCTCCTTTTTCCGCAGTCCTGTTTTGGTCTTCACAACTTCTATCGTCTTGCGCGCTGTCTTCCTCATCTATGGTTTGTGGCAGGATGCAAATTCTCCAATGAAGTACACAGATATCGACTATTATGTCTTCACTGATGCTGCACGTTACATCTCGTGGGGCCAACCGCCATACGCCAGAGACACGTATCGTTATACACCCCTCTTGGCATGGCTCATCTATCCCACAGTATGGCCAGGAAAATTCTGGTTTTCTTTCGGAAAGATTCTCTTCGCTGTTGGTGATGTGGCTACCGGATGGATGATGTTCCGCATCCTGAAAGAGTACAAAAAAATGCGAGACGAGAGAGCCCTGAAATTTGCAAGCATTTGGCTGCTGAACCCTATGGTAGCTACCATAAGCACAAGGGGTAGCTCCGAAGGACTGCTTGGAGTGTTTGTCACCGCACTCTTATGGGCAGTGTTAGCAAAGAAGGTGTCGCTAGCTGGTTTCTTACTCGGATTCGCGGTCCATTTCAAGATATACCCATTCATCTACGCCGTCTCTTTCGTCTGGTTTCTCGACGACACCCAGTCCCAATCCACGAAATCGGTCGCTTCGCAAGCTTCACGGACACTGTCTGGTCAGATTCAAGCCTTCATCACTCTACCTAGGTTGTCCTTGGCATTTTACAGTCTCCTCACGTTTACTGTCTTGAATCTTGCTATGTACCAGATATACGGTTGGCCGTTCCTTGAGCATAGCTATCTCTATCACTTGATCCGTAGTGATCATCGCCACAACTTCTCGCCGTACAACACATTGTTGTATCTCAATTCTTCGCCAAACCCATCGGGCCTTGAATCAGGCCCAGCGTCCTTTGAGCTAGAGCGGCTCGCATTCCTTCCACAGCTGCTGCTCAGCGCTGTTTTCATCCCACTTGCGCTGGCGAAAAAGGATCTACCAAACACAATGCTAGCGCAGACTTTTGCATTTGTCACTTTCAACAAGGTTTGCACAAGTCAAGTAAGTCATGTGATGCATCTGGAACCTGACTAAGATACTGATTTTTCCAGTACTTTCTCTGGTACATGATGTTCCTCCCATATTACCTTCCACAATCAACCTTGCTGCAATCAGCCCCTATGGGCATCGCTGCCATTGTTGCTTGGATCGCTGGCCAAGCCGCCTGGCTGCAACAAGGCTTTCAACTTGAGTTCAACGGTCATTCAACCTTTTTACCAGGGCTTTGGTTGTCTAGCATTCTCTTCTTTCTCGTCAACGCCGGCATCCTGAGTATCATCATCTACGACACTAAACAGAAGCCAACACAAAGTAATATTGTACAAGAGAAAAAGAAACAGTAGTCAAGCTATGAATCCATATTTTGATGTATCTCGAACCGTATGTTCCCGTCGTCTTATTCAATGAACATATTAGGCCCCGTATTCACTGATGATAACATATCACTCTACGCGGCTCGATGGGGCAGAGCAAAGGAGACTAGAAGTCAAGATGCGGAAAACCGAAGATGAGGACGTGAATGTTTTTTTAAAAGGCCCTAGCTTTGGACGAGGCTACAGTCTTTCTCCACTAGATCAAACCCGCAATAGTACTCTAGTAGAACTTAATAAGAAATCTAGCATATTAGACATGGTCGTATACTACGCGAAGTAACTCTTCTTTCTCCTCTTTATAGTGCATCGATTGCATTGGCTGATACGTAGTTATCTCTAAAGTAGCTAGATACACTATTGTACTTGTCTCTGAATTTGCAGGAGTTCATAAGGAGAAGACGACAAGAAAGCTTCTGCAGCACTAAAACTTGAAAAACACCTTCCTGTGTGCAAGAATTTCAAAAGAATTTGGCTTTAATACTGAACTGGTCTTCAGATTTTGGGTGTTACTTTAAAGGTTGGAGAGGGAGAGATTCGAACTCTCAACCTCAATCCTCTTTGTAAGTAGACCTTCGTAGTAGGAACTCATAATCACGAACCCGCAACCAAAGAAACTTGAGCAGCCGCTCTCCCAAGCCGCCCTCAACCAACACCCCATCCTCCTCACCACCCCATACGAACCCCTTCCATCATGCATTCTCATCAGATGCGCTCGCTACTGTTGTTCAGAACCCTATTCCTTCGTCTCGGTATTACCATTAGTCTTAGAATCCGTGGTGACCAGTTCATTCGTGGCAGAGTAAAAGGTGGACCAAGGTGTAGCAACCACACTCTCCTGTTGCGAGAGCTCGAACGTGTAAGTATTCGCCGTAGTACCCCCAGTGCTTGAAGATTCTAGCCCCTTTTTAGTTGACGCTCGAGGCTTTGTACTGGAGGCTTTGATCTTGTTGAGCTTGCGTATAGTGCGTTGGTTGCGGGGGAGGAGATGAATTTTCTTGGATATGGGTCCCAAATTTGAGGCTGGGTCTCTCCTATTTATGAGCGAGCTGGGTGTTTGTGGTGTGACGAGCGGAATGCCATCTGAAAGCACTGCTGGCTTGGGCTTTAGCGTACGGAGCATGTTGATGAAAAGTGAAAGAGGATGAGATTCGTATGCATACGATAAGTAGAACATGTAGTGCACGGAACTTGAAAGGCAGTTCTTACTCCTGATAAATGCGTAATCGAAATTTTTTGGAAGATGTCAGAGGAACCACGGTTCACAAATATAGTTTTTTTATCTCACTGAATTAGTGCAATTACAGCTTTCCAATTTCAATCGCACTTCCCTTCCTTTCAGGGCTCAAAATCTTCTCCTTCCGAAATACACATCTCCTCCTTCGAGAAATATGAACTCATGTTAACATTTGCCACAAACGCAATAATCGATCCTCATTCTTTCATCCCCTTTCAATTCCTTCGTTGCTGTCCAATCCCTACAAACCCTCCGAAAAGCCACCCACGCTGAACTCTGAAAAGAATTCTTTCAGTACCCCCAGATCAAAGTCTTTCTCTTCCTTCATATCCTTCCGACTTTATTCTAATCCCGCTACTTCCGTATCGTCAGACTGAGGAACAGGTACCAAGCGTATCGCACCAGGATTGAATGTCGAATATGTCGGTATCCAGACGGTATCCTCACCATCTGCACCGTCTTTCTTTTCTTGATGTTTTACCTTTATGTCACACGACTTCTTCTGCATGATTGGACTGTTGATATATCGGTACAACGTAAGAATAGCAGGTCTAAAGAATGGGTTTGATGTTAAGATGCGGAGTGGTGGAGTGCGGAGTATGAAGGGGCGTCGGAGGAAAAGTGTTTGGTGGAGGTACCTAGGTACGGAAGGGAGGTGGCGGAGGATCATTCTGAAAGTTGTAAGAGGGATGAAAGGTATGCCCCTAGTTGTTCTCTTCGAGTTGAAGTGAGTTGAGTAAGCAGTATGTTTGCAGGTTGGGGATTTCATGGAGAGTCAGGACTGCGATATTGCATAGATGGAGATCAAAGCTTTGTGAAACTGAATCAAGAGCGTTATTCAAGCATGGGAATACGAGGGAGGTAAGTTCCTACCATTTCAATTTCGTTGCACTAGATTCGCTCAACCTTTTAGTCGTCGAGGTGAGAGAAAAGGAAAGGGGAGGAGTTATCTCAACCACGGTTTGACATGCGAGTTGAAACGATTGCGGCCACAACCTTGTAGCAATATCATTTTTCGGCGTTGGGGTATCTATGCTACAATTTTAACATAATAAATTGCTAATAGCAGTCGCATGACTTTCTTGATCTTGCACACAAACTCATAGATCAGCCAAGGCGATCTTAGTACGTAAGTTGACCACACGCCACGCCAAAACTGTCACAGCATTTATGTGACTGTGGCAATCGCATCTATTTCGCTTTTCTGCCATAGACACGTATCGCGAATGTTGACTGCCGAAGAGAGCGGGTTGACCGGAAAGTTTGTTTTGACTAGTTATCACGCGCTAAGGCAATGTTTGGATCCTGTCATTTGCTTGCGGTGCTTTCTCGGCGGCGGCCCTGCCACCATGGTAGGCCATACATAAGTATCTGAGGACAGTGAGTGTGTTTGAATGACCTGTAGCTCAGAAAACAGTTGACACCATTCATTCCCATCATCTGCTTCATTAAAACCCACTGCATTCATCATGACTCAATCTGAAGACACTCCATCCCAAATGCCCGCCTGGTACGTGCCAAATGCGACCGAGGACAATGTAGCGCCGGAAATCCGCGAGGTTCTCGTAGGCTACAGCGGTATTCCGCGGGACCAAGTCCTCGATCATGTCGTGAAAATACGTGATGAAGCTTGGAAAGTCTATCCATATCCATGTATCGGTCAGTTTCGATTTGTCGATCGCAGCTTCACAAAGCCATCCAAGGAGTTCGATGAAATAATACAACGCGTGCGCAACGGTGAAACACTGCTAGACATGGCGTGTTGCTTCGGCCATACAATACGTGAGCTGGTTCATGCCGGTGCGCCAGCCGAGAATATCTACGGTTGCGACCTCCAAGCCGACTTCATCGAATTGGGATACAAGCTTTTCCAGGATCGGGACAAGCTTGCAACCAAATTTATCACGGCAGATATTTTTGATCCTGATTCCGCGCTTGTAGAGTACAAGGGACATTTTGATATTATCCAGGCGGGCAAGTTCTTCCATCTATGGGGTTACGAAACACAGCTCGTAGTCTCCAAAGCTGTTTTTGAATTGCTGCGGCCTCAGCCCGGTTCGATGATTGTTGGTTCGCAAATTGGAGAACTCGAGGCTGCGGAAGGACCCTCGCCAGTAGGGACGATGTTTCGGCATAGCCCAGAGAGCTTCAGGGAGATGTGGGAGAAGATAGGAAAGGAACTTGGTGTCAAGTTCACCGTTGAGACCCGGATGACAAAACTCGCCAAAGGGCATTTCAGGTTTACAGATAACACGAGGATGCTTTGGTTCACCATCCGCCGCGAGTAGCTCTACTGTATTTCAGAGCTTTTTTTTCGTTGTTCAGACATGTACTTGGCAGCTAAGCGCCGGGCTGCAGGGGCCTATTTACCTGTGGGTCTTCGAATCGTCTGGACCATGTACAATACAGATCAGCCAAGATGAAGGGACAGTTTCCGGAAGTGATCGCGCTGGCTTCAGCTGTATCTGGAACAAAAAACAAATCGTGGCTGTTTTTGTCGTAGTGCACCTGCACATGGATTTTGCCGGAACCGGGATCTGTAGGGATAATGTACCTGTTCACGGCAACGCCAGCCGCTTTCTAGTATATGCATATTTCCCCAAACTCTTCCAGATTCCATGTTCAATTTCTCGTGTTTGGCTAATTGGCCACTATATCGGTCGACCATACAGCCGGTACAGCTATATTGCGAGCTGCAGGAACCAGGGCAGACTTCTGTACGATGGCCATGCTCCACAATATCTCCCGGCGGGTGGCGGTCAATTGCTTCGTGTTCATTAACTACTCTTGTCAAGAATAATAGTTTGTTCTTCTGAGCCGAGGTGCTTTGACCAAAATTCCAGAAGCCCGAGAGCCCAGCCGTTCATTTATTTCATATTGGAATCCACAATGCTGCATATGTTCTGACTATATTTACACTACTCAGTATGAGGAAAGGTAGGCGTCTCTGAATCTATTATAAGTATTGACCTTGCTGGTCAAAGATCACTATCCGGCACCAGTTGAGAGCTCGGCACTTTGTGAAAGACCTTGCTATTACTTTAGGCCTGTAAACCACCAACATGAAGGTCTCAATTCTCACTGCAGTATTTGCTGCGACAGCTGAGGCGGCAGTCCGCGGAAAGAGGCAAGCTGGAATCCCCGATGGTATGAAGAGTTATTTCTTAAGAAAAGCCCCACAGCTAATAACATGAACAGTCAATCAGTGCGGACTGGGCGCATTCGAAGGCCGCACGTCTGAAGCGTTGCTTTTCTGTTCCAACATTTTGAAGTCAGGAACGGCCACCACTACTGTGACCAATGGATTTACGAGAACGGCAACTACGACGGCTACGACCACGGTGACTATTTCACCTTCAGCCACTCCTAAGCCAACACCAACACCAACTCCTACACCGACATCCAAGCCGACTTCTTCCACTCTTGTAGCACCGTCTTCATCCTCTACCCGTGTACCGCCATCATCATCCTCCACTCCTGTAGTACCACCGTCATCCTCTACTCCTGTAGCACCATCTTCATCATCTATTCCCTCTTCTACAACACCATCCTCGACGCTAGTCTCTTCGACTCTTGTGTCAAGTCCTTCCCCGTAAGCATCCATTTCCTGTCCTACTCAGTGACCATAAATCACTAACGAACCCACAGCACACCTACCACACCACCCAGCTGCGGCATCGCAGCCTATGTCAAAGTAACCCCCGCCTACTACTTCGAATCAAGCGGCACAAAAAACACTTTCGACGCCTGCAGCGCCCTCTGCAAAGCAGACTCTAAATGCAAGAGCTTCGGCTATGGCGAAGCAAACTGCATGCTCTTCGACGTAACTGTGTACGTACTCCCCTCTCTTAACACCCCCCCCCCAAAAAAAAACATCTTTACTAACCCCCACCGCTTCAGCTCCGAGAACACAAACCTCAACCCAACATCCCCATACACCTTCTACGACTCCTCTTGCCCCTCCGAAATCCCCATCCGCAAGCGCTCCCCTCAACTCAATATCTCGATTGGCTTGCCCGGAGGCATTGGTATCTCGCTTGGCCTGGGTAATGCGGGTGTTACGTCTGCGTGCTCGTGCCTTATTACTAGCGGTCCGGCCAGGACGACGGTGACGAGGACGGTGAGCAGTGGGACTACGACGACGAGCACGGCGGTCAGCACGGTTACGACGACGAAGGCGGCGGCGAAGTGAGATAGTTGAGGAAGGCGGGAAGTTAAAATAAATAGATAGGAATGGAGTATCATCACAAAATCTCCTAGTGGGATTTACGGTCGTGTCGAATCTGTCTAATTAATAAGTGTATCTTGTTGCTAACGCAGTACAAATCCGATAGGACGCCTTTACAGAATGCTAAACCAAACACTCGTCGCTGCGTCTCGTTCTTTCAATTCGGATCCAGGATAACCACTGGTCCCCCGCTTCTCAGCGTAAGATGTGATCCAGCCGCAATTTCCATCACGGTATCGCATGCGATCTGCTCCAACGCAGTTGGTCCCTTCTCGTAAAAACATCAACCTTATTCCCATTCAAAAGTTTCCCAGGTCGAGACCGATTTACCTCCTCATTTCCGTCCCATCCTCACCTTGTCCCTCCAACTCTCCCTCTCTTTGCCCAATGCTCTTCAAACCACTCCCTACAATGATGCTCAACCCAACACCCCGCAAAATGCACTGCCAAATCTCCCTCACTCCACAGCATGTGCGAGTCCCCATCCGCATACGCATTAAACTTGCGCTGCGGGAAAACACCCACATGCTTCCTCACCAACTCATGCTCAAACACCAAATGCTTAATCGCATTCTGCTCAGCGAGATGATGTTCCTTGCCCATCAACATGGTGCGATCCGTCATCATCTCAAGAAAGAACCGCGTGAACGCTGAGCGCCGGAAAAACATGGATCCAGCATTGACAAACTGGTGGTCTTGCGTTATCAGGATGTCGACGTCTTCGATGCGGTAGTGGGTTGGCGTGTAAATATTCGTTGGGGGTTTCTCTCCGTTGAGAAGCATGGTGCTGCGCAGTATTCCTTTTTCGATGGCCGAGGGGCTGAGGATGCTGGAGATGAGGGGGACGGAGGGGGTCATGATGATCATGTCGGCGTCCATGACCCAGATCCATTCGGCTTTGGGGTAGAGGTAGAAGGCTTCTGCTAAGGCGGGGATTTTGGCCCAGACCTACATCTGTTGTTAGATATTTTGGGCGGGTTGCATAAGAGGTGAAAGTTGGCATACTCGGTGGGAATCTCCAATGTCGTAGCGACTTGTGTTTAGCCAGAGATTGGTGTAGCCGTGTCGGGCGCAGTATTCTTCCCGGTTCTCTAGCACCCTGTCGAGTAAGTTTGGGATCTCGCTATTGTGGCCGCCTCCATCGCTTGCGGTCAAGACGATGACGTTTTCGGGTTTCGGCTCGCGCTTGAATCCATTCAGGCTACTTGCGTAGTCGGGTACATCCCAATTCCATTCTGGCTCGAACTTAAAGTATTGAGTTTGCAGCCGGTCGTTGTTTGTTTTTATTTCTACTACGGTGTCACCTGTTACGTAGTCGCGATATCGCTGGATAGGAATGGCATGGTGGTAGCTTAGGGGAACGACGACAAGGAAAACAGCGAATGTAGCGAATGTGAGCCTGGGTACAAGAATGTTTTCAGCTATCTCAGTCTATTTAGAGAAGAGGGACCCGAGGCTAGCCGGGCGTTGTTTGTATGCCAATCTGGGTAGAGGTACACACGAATCGCGTCGCCGAAACTAGTTCTGGATTGGAAAGCTACTCACTTCTTCGTCCACCGCTGAGAGGCCTGCATACTGTCTGTCATTGGAGGCACAGGAGCGCTTCTATATCGAAAGGAGCTGGGTCGAAGGGAGGCATATTGGAATACGAGCCTTCTCAGTGAGATATATATTTTTGTTTGTACGTAAAACCAACATTCAGTTCAACAGTATCGGTATTAGGCCGAGAAACCGCAATGTCGCCTTTCCATCAGGACGTGCTGGCGAGCCATCGGGAATTTTGCATAACGGTGCTAGTCCAAAAGGAGGTGTAAGGTTTTGACGAGATTATACGCGCGGGACGGCCGGCTGGCGTACCCAGGTTGCTGAATGGGAACAAAACAATGTTATGCGTAAGCATCTTGATGATCAGGCTTGTCACTGGCAACTGCCGTTCAAGCTTTCACCGATGCGGTGCTTGTCAGGAATAACAGCGAATATGCCTTTTAGTTCACTGAAAAGGAAGAAACAAGCAAAAACACCACAAACCCTATACTATTTCAGAAAATCTTACTTCTACATGGCTCGACCCAGCAAATGCCTCGGAAATTGCTTACGTTGTATCGCAAATCCTAGCGAGACTTCATATTAAACCAGGGCCTGTCCTTACACAAATCTCCACTCAACCAATCAGCCGCAGCAGGACCAAGCTTAATCAGCGCTAGTAGCGCTACTCCCAAATCTTCCGAACGGAACCCTCCACCTCACAACCCCAGCAAAGCAGCTTGGCCCCAAAAAGAAAAACCAAAAAAAGCTTACTCAACTCCACGAATCGAAAGCCTTTCAGCGTAAAAAAAAGAAGGGAAAAAGGGAAAAAAAAAAAGAAGAAGAAAATGTCATACCTTACCCAAATCACAAACATAGCCGAATACCTGGCCTGCATCAAAGCCACAGCGGGCAAGACCATCCTCCTCGCCTACTGGCCCGAAGACTCGACCTCCAACGAAGTCGTCGCTGCGCTGCACAAGCTGCTGCCAGCGTCTAGCTACGCAGAGCACGATGTGGTAGATGTGTACTGCTTCGACATGTATTCGCTGCCGGAGCTGGGCACCATGCTGGATGTCAGTTTTGTGCCGACGCTCATGTGGTTTCGAGATGGGGTGATGGATCCGATTGTGTGGCATGAGGGTGTGGCAATTGAAGGGGAGAGTGTGGAGAGGGGGGTTAAGCGCGTGGTGGATAGGGTTAAAGGAGGGGATATTGCGGGGGAGGATAGTGATGATGATTGGTAGGTTGGAGGTGACGGATGACGGCGTTAGAGAGAGAGAGAGTGTGTGTGTGGTGGGGGGGATCTTGGGAGTACGAGTCATGTTTCGCGGTGCTACTGAGGTCTGGGGACTGAGGGTACTTACTGCTCGAGTTTTCGTTGCACTCGATGCTGGCTGAGATATGATACTTTTCCTGACACCTTTTTCCAATCGCCTCTCGTCGGAAAGATTGTTTGGAACGGCTGGTTTTGACGAGCATAACATAAATTTCGGCTTTCCGGTAATCGTCATTGCAGGACCCTGTTTCTGATGGCCCAAGGAGCACTCACATCAGCCTTACAGGGGCAAGAATCAGAGGCAAGGATCAAACAACCTTTAGAATACGACTACGAAATCTGGACATATGACATCAACAGTAGGGTATGCTTTCATTAAGCGAGAAAGAAAAATAACTGAAGGACTTCTTGCACAATCGGGATACACGATCTTCACGTCATAATCATATGACATTATGTCCACATTCCCGCCCCTCTATATTGACCCTTCAATCTACAAGCTCAAGCATACTATACGCCTTATGTTCCACCGATTTCTTCACAACTGTCAATGGATCCATCTGCTTTTTCACTTTCTTAATCTCCATCATGCCATCCGCCCCCTCAACTTCCACTTCCTCTTCCTCAATCTCATCATTGTCGTCAAACGCCCCAGTCTCCAGGAAGAGCCTAAGCATACCTTGCGAGTAACCCGAAACAAGCGCTGTATTCGTATCATCCATTGTCGTCGGCTTACTCGTACTGAATCCAGCAAGGTTCCAAAAGATGAGACGCGGAACCTCGTAACCCGCCTTGGCATACTCATCCTTGATACGCTGGAAAGAAGAGTTCCAACGATCCTCTGCTCTGTAGGCTGCGTTGAACTGCATATCGCTGAATACGAAAACCTGCTTGACCATGTCTTCTGGCTTGAGCTTGTTCTTGATAGCTATGGGGAGAATAACGTCTTTGAAGACGGCAACGAGATCCGTGCTACCACCCCAGGGGCTTTGTTCAAGAAACTTGATTTGTTCCCTGAGTCCCTCACCTACGCCGCTCGTAGAAATGTATGCTGGAGTAGTCTCAAAGGTGATGAAGCCGTTGCCAAAGGGTGGTGCTGTGACCTCTGAGATGAGGAGGGAGAGGCCAATGGCAGAGTCCATGGGGCAGGAGCCATCTTTGAATACTGGATAGCCCATGCTGCCACTGACGTCACATACGGCGATGCTAGATTGCAGAGTGCCGGCATCGCGTACGCGCTTGACGAGAGTCTTCCACTGGCCATCGATGAGTTCTCCAAGTATCTTGTCTTGTTTGCGCTCTTTGGCAGCCTTGAAGTTCAATTTCTTGCCCTTCGTCAGGGGCACTTGCCTGCTATTGGTGCCTCGTGCTTTGCTGACTAACGTAGATGGCAGCAGGGTAGCGCCAGATACTGTTGCAGTACCGGCAGTGACTTTGTTGATGTAGGCGGTAAAGCGCTCCTCATCTTTCTGTAGGAAGAGTGAACTGTAACGGTCCATGGCGAGTGATGGTACCTGTTCATACTTGATATTCTCAAAGGTTTTCGCCGCAATTTCCCGCTCAACGATACCCAGGGCCTTGCGTAGAGGTGATGCATACTGTTTTCGATAAAGCTCGCGGACATGGCGGAGGTATAGCTCGCGGTTGCTAGCATCAGAACAGTGCAAGGCAGGATCTGGGAAGAGAATTTCGGCAATAGAAGACTGAATGAAGGTCTGCTTGTCATGAAATTCACCAAAGGTAGGTGCCCACTTGGCTGCGAGTGATATCTTTTTCAAGTCTGATGCCTTTCCAGAATCCAAGAGGGCTTTGTCGGACTTGAGTTGCTCAGCAAACAGTCTCGCGACAGTAATGTGTAGCGCGCGATGGAAAGGATCGTTCTTCAGCTTGTCTTGCACCCGCTGGTTGTGTTCTTGTCTTTGGCGGTGTCGGGTTTCTTTCGCAACCTTGGGATCCCAATTTCTTGTTTCCTTTGGGTTTTCCGTAGTGTCGATAACCTGATTGAGCAGAGAGGAACGGTCGCCGTCGAACTTGAGCTGATCATTTGCTGAGAATACCACTAGATTGAGGAGATCCTTCCAGTACCCATGCGACATTCCATACTTGATGTCGTGTGCTTTGGAAGGGTCAGACTCATCAACCTCTACCGTCTCAAAATCGTCCTCAAGCCTTTTGATTGAACAGTCCTCGGACTCAGGCTTTGGCTCGGCCTTCTTCGCTATGACGGGTCGAACTAGCCACTTTAGGTTTGCCAGAAACGTCAAAGGATGGTTCTCGGCCAGCCATCCCAAAGCCGTGTACGTGGTAAGTCGACTACTTTTGCCCAGATGAATACTGCGTGCATTGAATATGATTTTCAAAGTTAGGAGAGGGTCTTCACTCCAGGCATCTTTGAGTAGGGTCTTGAGTCTTTCGGGCCCGGTAGCCTCGCCAAAGTCATGGAATAGGTCTACGAGCACATCTTTCGATGAGATGTTGGTGACGTCGCCGTTTTCTGTCAAGGTCTGGTTGTTGGCTGCAAGCTGTTTATCTGTTCGCACGTGGGCGGCGTGACTTTCCAGGCCAGCGACAAATGGCGCTTTCTGTGGACGGAGATTGTTAGCGTCATACGACGCCTTTCGCTTCAACCTGGTGCTACTCACTGGCTCATTTTCAGCGACGGTGACTGATTCGATACCATTGGCAGTAGACTTCTGTTGGCTGCACTCTTTCGAGCCATGTGGATGTATTTGCTGCTTCAGAAGATGCTGGAACTCATCTTCTGACATGTGTAGTGCCACATCCTCTGGAAGAAATACAGGGAAGGATGAATTCAGTATTGAATGCTTCTGTGAGCCGGTAGCATCACTGTTGGAAGCCATTTTGAGGAGATGGCCCTGAGTTCTAGGTTTGGTGTTTATTGGGTTGCTGACATTTATATATACATAAGATGTGAGTCAAGACAAAAGAGGCACGGTAGGTGTTGGTGTGGGGTAACCGGGGGCCTTGGAAGATGGAGGTGCATGGCTGCCTATGGAGGAGCTTGTAGCTTAGTTGCCTCCTGGATCCACAAATCCTACCATTGAACAGAAAGGGCACAGCAAGACGAAAGGGCGCAACTGTTACTTGCCACACAATTGTGCCGGTTGATCGAGACAGTAAACGCGTATCGAAACACCAGGCTAGAGATAGTGCAGCCTACAAAGAGAGGACTAATGAGCGAGTCGAGGGCTTGAGAATGATCACAGGATCTTGGCTGCATCGTCCGTATCGCCGTTTCCTTGTGGTTGCACTCTGCGTGTAAGTAGTAAATAGGCAGTTGGGGTCACGTGATTGTCACGGTACCTGTGACATGGAGGGATCAATGTCGATCACACCGCTTAGTCTCTTGACGTGTATGTACCGGATAGTCGCGACCTGAACGGGCATCTATTCCGTGTGTACATACGCAGTTGACGATATTGACATGTAATTGGCCTCGCATTGCCCTCTGGCGGTAGCAGCAGAGCTGGGGAGCAAGAAAAGGGCGAATGCGTCATCTCACCTACAGTTGCTGCGACACCCTCTAGCCTTGCAGCATTTCCCGACGCCTCGACGAAAACTCTGCGTGTGTGTAGAAAGCCATTGGCACGCCTGCTGGGATGTCCATGTCCTCGAACCCGCCGTGACCGTCAAGCTAGGCTTTGGGGATGGCCTGAAAGCCAAGGCTGGCACGGCCTTCCGTACCACTTCCAAAACACCGTATTGACCCTTAGGATAGTGTTTCCAGGTGCCTTGAACCTGGCTCGCGGGCCGGACTCCACT